TCTATTTGGTCAATCGGTGTAGCCATTAAAAGCTTAAAACTTTTAAACGGTCGTCGGCTTTAAATACTTGATCAAACAAATATTATCAGAGATGCAATTAGATTTGAACAAATGCAACATTTCGACACCTTGTGAAATCGTCATCCTCCTCTGAGTTTACTTAAAAGTTTTATTTTGTCACCACTTGCTCATAAATTAGAATTCTTTGCAAATCGATGTTAATAATTGAAGGGTTAAATTAAGCGCTTCGTTCAATTCTGCACTTTGTTTATTTATTCTTATTTCTAAGTCGACTTTCCTGATTTTACGCCTCTCGCGTCTCGAGAAAAACTCTTTATTTCAGCAAACGGTTTGCCAGTCATGCGTCTTAGCATATTAAATAAGAGTTATCATAGGTAAATTGATTTTTTCGATTTTTTAATTTGTCGCCAAATTCTAACTTCCTTTTGTCTTATTAGATATCACAAATAATTAAAACGTATATGTAAAGAATCAACGAGTTATCTTCCCTTTTTCATATTCGTTTATGATTTTACACAAGCGGCACCTTGGCAATGCTCAGAATTCACTGACGACAAATCCATTGTTTCTTTCCATGAACATGCTGCAAGGAATTTCCAGGCTTTCTTTCAAAACTTGAATCAAGTGCAAGGTACTTAAATGTTTACAGTTACTGAATATTACCTGAATCAACGATAGATTTTAGAGGGGATAATTGGATGTAAGCATCACTGCTGAAATATTATTTGTCATGTGAGTATTGCTGGCCTTTGCTACAAGATCCCGACTGAATACAGTCCAAGAACAGTCAAAAACAAAAAAAATTGTGTCTTATTACGCGTACATATTATAACTCAAGTACAGAGACCTTTAAAAAGTAAACAAGGCTTGTGATAGCCACGCTCGGACATTTGTCAAGACGACTTTTGAGGTATTTATTGTGTAAAGAATGACAACATGGAAATTACCCGGCGACACATCTAGTCTACGAAACTTCTCGGGTACACCATAAATGAACTCGGAAATCATAATAGCTAAGAGGATTCATCATGGACAATTACTAGACTTTGAAGAAACATTTAAATAAAGAGCATTTGGTACAGGCTTGAGAAATAAACTAATTCGCACCCCCACGTTAAACCATCGTCACGACCAATAAGCATCCGATAACGAAAATTAGGTTAAATTTCTTAGTGATCAAATTTACATATTTTCCCAGCTGCCTGTGATTACCTCGTACCTTTAAATCAATCTCTAGTACTATATTTTGCTAAAACAATAGCAGAGAACTTCAAATCCTTGTAGGAATTTTAGAGAAGGGCAAATGTGACCGATTTATGAAATCAACCTTTTTTAGAACTGAAGGTGAGGCAATCATATATGGTTTTCAAATACAAGAAAGAACTTAAAGCTCAACATATTTTTTGATTTCCTTTCTAAATCAGATAAGGTACCTTTTTTTAGATAATTATATTCTTTCGTAACTAAGACGAACGTATCATCGTAGGCTTTTCCTCTGAAAAGACGAAAACCTTTTCTGCACGTTCTTCTAAGGAAAATGAAGCTGCTCTTTAGCATTCGAATTCTACTAATTTTTTGTAACTTTGTCTTCGTCTTTTTTTCGCGTATAGCTTAAGGGCTTAGAAATTTGACAGTCTTCGTGTTTGCTTCAACCTTTTTGGTTTGTATTCAGCAGTTGGTGTATATTTGCATTTTAACAATGGCATTAATTATTCTGTTTAAGCTCTTGTCGGCTAAGTACAAAACGAACTTTCTGAAAATCCAGATGAGGAGATGTGCGTTTAAAGATTTTGCCAGGGCTAACGGGCAAATTTATTCCCCGAATACATTCGATGAGGGTTAATATTTTGTAGTGGGAGAAATTTCCCCGTCATAAAACTTCAGTGAAGATCAAAATTATCTCTTTTTTATATCAAAAGCTCCAACTGATTTGATTTGGGCAGGCTGCATAATACTCTTTCCTCTTGACAAATCTCACATGCTTTATTGTTACACATCGATCTAGTGATATACTAAGGAGAGGAATTTTGACATTCACTGGAAATTTTTAATTTCTCAGAGAAGGCACCGTTTAGGGTAATGGAATATAGGTTAGTCAAAAATGAAAAATGCTTGCCTAATATGACACTAAACCAATAGGTCAATTAACTGTTTTCTACTTTTGAAATAATCTTCTCCATACTGTAATTGTTACCCTTCCCATAGGATAATCGATTGAATCGTCAATAAGCCACGGAACTGAAGAAAATCAAATTCATTTTGCTAAAAACGATCAATTCAGTTACTAGAAAGTGTGAATTGCATTAAAACATTTCTACTGTTCTACCATGTACCAAAAGAAAATAATGAGGTATAATGTGTGCGTCAAAGACGCTTCTCATGAAAAAAACTTTACCAAGGTGACTTTATGTCGGTGACTGATTTCATCCAAGGAAAGAAAAACCATTCAAATCCATACGTGGTGACAAGAGACCAAAGTTCTGTTTCGACTCTAAATCGGTGTTTAGAGCACTGAGATCGAACGCAAAACAAAAGGTTAGAAAAAAACAATTTCGAAAGGAGCCTGTCCATAAATGCTAATGTAAATTTGCCTACTCTAAGAAAACAATTGACAGGTGGCTGCATAACTTAAGTGACGGAGGAAAGAAGGGCAACTTTCAATTTCGTAGTCGAATATATTAAAGGAAAATAGAATTCAAAGCATGTTTACACTTTTGTTTTGACTTCTTTTTTCTAATTAATTTCCTCTTCCTTTTTTAATTCTTTATTCACCAAATTTAAGTCATTCACTATCGTAATTTCCATAGCTTTTGGGGTTTAAAGTAACTATTTTCTGCATCTAGTCTCAGTTTTAACCATTGCTGACATACTCTTACTTACAGATTTGTACCACAGAATCTTTAAACATGGGATGTCCCTTTCTGATACTCGTAAAACAATTTTTCGATTCCTCTAAGAGTTTTTATATTCAATCGGTATTTTACCTCCTCAGAATATTACAAATTGTATTTCCATATCCTGAAGCAATTTCTATTCTTAATCATGGCTGCACGTTTTTATTGGGTGTGGCTAATTCAGCCACTTCTCGCTAATTTTACAAACTCCTGCTGAATTGGTCTAATAAGGCAATCTCGAAACACTATGGTTACAAAAAGAAGCTATTGTGATCAAATTAATACTTAAAAGAGCAGCATTTTGCGGCTTACACCCTGGTAGAGATGTGATATTGTCAAACATTATTATCCATTTTCTAAAGCTTTCGCTAATCTTTGTTACGAAAAGGTAGAGTCCTGGATAATCCCCCTGTTGTGCAAGTCGGCAAGAAAATGGTTATTTGCAAAATGATCGCCTAAACTTACTGGAAAAACCTCCGGTTGAAGAGAATTTCCATAATTCATAAAAGCGACTAATTTAATATTGTAAACATTGACAGATCGAATTCTTAGCGATGTTTTATTTGAACAAGGGACTTGATGGTAACCGACAAAAAAAATAGTCGGAACATGACAGGAAAAGCAACCATACACGAGACTAAGATATATACTCCACTAATGCTTCTAACATAAATGTGCTCTTTGCAGTTGAATAACTTTGCCGCTCTGACTAATTCGAGGAAACCTAATAATTACGAGTCTTTTTAGGGATTCCGAACAAAAACACCGGAACCAATTTACGATGTCTAAGAGTCATTTTCTTCAAACCCTGTCAAACTTGTTTCAGCGTTGTTTTTCCAATTTTTACCCTATATCTGTGCATTTACTGAATAAAATGCGAACACGTGAAATCTTCTTAGGAACGAAAACCACTATGTTCGCCGACAACACGCGCTGTTTTGATAAGCCTTTAATAATCTGCTGTCTTTCATTTTAAGTCCAGATTAATGTATGCGCTGATCGCCAATTCTAAACAAAACTCTTCGAATGAATTACCCACACCGCCCGCGCGCAAATGAAATAAATTCGTGTGGAATTTTTGACGCAGTGAAGTCGCTGTTTCGAAAGCCTAAACGTTCTCAACTTGTTAGGCAACCCATGTCGCTCTTTCGAAGAGAGGCAGTAACGACGGGAGCATGAAATTCTGTTCAGTGAAGGTATTTTGCTTGTATTTATTTAGAATCGCAAACATCTGTCTGTTACGAATGCAGTGAATGTTTTGCCGCTGAGATAAAATTACTTTACTTGTTATAGTTTTACCAATAGAGTATCACTCAAGTTATTCGCAACAACCCGTTTACGGTACATAGATTTTTGATGAGTAAGCTTAGGGAAACCTCGCTTCTCTAACTAGTCATCAAATGAGTTATTTATGTGACCGAACAGAGTTTCAATACGATGGATATCTTCTCTGCGCGATCAAAATAGTAACCGTGACAACTTCAGTCTTTTGACTTCTCACAGATTTTGTCATTTGGGGTGTGGCAGAATTTTAGCAAAAGCTCATTGCCAAAAGGTTGAGCGGTCGCGTTACGTGAACGACTGTTCATGCAAGTAAAGTTTACATTCTTACATGTTTGTTTTCTTTTCGGTGAGTAAATGTTGAAGATTTGGTATTGGCAAAAGACACACGAATTTTTAAACACACGAAATTACTCATCCTTTTAAAATCAGGTAATTTATATTCTCTTTAGTGAGTTTCATGAATTAAATGTGCCCTAACAAGACGAAGATTTGTGTCTAACTTGTAATAAATTTAGCGTAATACATAAGGCGCGTTTGTTGAACACAGTTAATGAAATATGCCTCCCTCATTAACAATGCTAGCAGGGGGTTTTGACGTCGTTGCGGTAAAAAAGTGTTATTGCTATCTTTTTTATTACATTTTTTGTGACTTAAATGTAAGAACCAGCGAGGAACACTCATGCAAATTTGTAGACTTTGTAAAAAGACCGTATTTCAAATGTATCTTTTTACTGCCCTGCTTTGTGCTGTCTTTACCATTTTTGTCTCTTCCGTTTCCATCAATCACAATCTTTTCTTTTTTCAGCTTCTCAGAGCGTGACACAATGAACAACTCAACCGACGTAGGATTCGTGTTTAACACAAGCGAGGGAAATATCGTTGCAGCATTCTTCGTCGCCCTTCTGATGCTGTTGACATTAGTGGGAAATACCATGGTGTGCGCCTGCTTTTACTATTATCGTGATCTCAGAACAATTTGCAATTATTTTATCATCAGTTTAAGTGCAGCAGATATCCTAGTGGCGCTATTGGCGATGCCTTTCTGGCTTGTGTTGCAATTAACTGATATGGATGAAAAATCCAGAAGCGTTTTCTCAGGAGAGTTGTATAGTTTCTGGGCAAGTATTGACATCCTTGTTGGGTCAGCGTCCATTATGAATCTTGTGGCTGTAAGCTTTGATCGTCACCTAGCTATAACTGCGCCATTTTCGTATAGCGAATCGCTGACTTCGCTAAGAGCTATTATCATGATAGTTGCGTTGTGGGTATTCTCTATCTTGCTCTGCGGTCTGCATGTCCCTTCGGTCAAAATGGCGAAAATGCGTTCTGCATACCAAATTGGTCTCGTGGTGGTGAGTTTCATTGTCCCTCTGTTTCTTATGTTCGTCATGTACATGAAAATATACTTTGTGGCGAGAAATCAAGCGCTCCGCATTGGTCGAAACTACGCTAGGGATATCAAAGCAACCAAGACGATAGCGATTGTCATTGGAGCGTTTGTTGTGTGCTGGATGCCCTTCTTCGCAATAATTACTTTGTATGCTCTAAAGCCTGATTATAAAGTTAACATCGAAGCTTACAAGGCAATCAAATGGTTGGAATACCTTAACTCGTTCTTGAACCCAATCATTTACACCTGTTTGAACCGCACCTATCGCCGCGCCTTCAGGAAACTATTGCTTCGTCCGTCTTGTTGTACAGGCCGTGGATCATCCGAGCGTCTCAACTGTGTTCAGTCAACCCATACTTCGTTCCACATGACGAAAGCGGAGTCTCTTTCTCACAGTTCGTCTTCAGTCTCTGAGAATGGAAATGTTTGTATTCAAAGAAGCACCAAAATGGAGGGCACGAGAGTCTAAAATTCTGCTCTCTGTAAGACATTCCCTATAGCATTAATTTTGATTCATGGAATGTCATATAACATTCATTTTGAAATCACTGATGATCCGGCTGATATCTGATTGGTTCTCAGCATTGCGATTTATTTACGAATTGCTCTATTTCTTGCTATAAATCGCATCTTTTTCCACTGAAACATTACTACCAATCAGATTTTAAGGCTTGTTAAAAGTAACCAATCAAAGTTAGGAAAATAAAAGACGAAGAAGTCATCGTATGGCGAATTTTGCAGCTTTTGTCTCCAACACTTTTCCTACTATTTCAGTAGAAAGGAATGAATATAATTGTGAATCAAATTTTCCGATTTCAAAATGTATGTAATAAAGTAGTAACTGAAGTTGGTGTTGTGCAGTTTTGGTTGAAATCACATTTGTTGCTGCGCGCTCGATCGATTTTTAAATCATGTATATTGTTTTAGTCCAAATTGCACTCCACTCAGTTCAATCACCGTTATTTATCTCAAGCGTATCATGCGACCACATAACGAAGACGGAAGGTAGTTAAACTGTCTGAGGTGGCCCCATGTGCAGCCATGGCAAGCCAATGTTAAAATGCACGTTGTTTCAGCGAAGTAAATCCTGCCACTTTTACATCATCTCCCTGAAGTCTACTTTTGAACAAATGAATCGAATTTAATAGAACAAATGAAAATACAGGGGAGGAAACGATAAGCAGCTTCTCAAGAGCGTTCATATTCAGCAGTTAATCAAAATATGTAGCTCAAAGCATCATTAGCTTCTGAATTGTCTTAGTGTAGCTAAAAAGCGTGTTAAAAAAATAGAAAGAGCGTCTTCAACGATTGAGTAGAGCCAGACCTCCACCAGTTAATGTAAGTGAGTGAGGTGCCCCCCGGCCTAAATTGTTTACAACATATATACTATAGGATTTAATGGATATAATAATGACCAATTTAACGGTAAAACTTTGGAATTTATCGGTGTAGGGTATTTTCTTTATTTTATTCTATATATCACTCTATGCATATTCTATATATTATGTATATATTATTCTAAATTATATATATATATATATATATATATCCAGTAAATGTAAATACTATGCTTATTGAGTCGATTATAACTAGCTCAGCTTAAATATAACAAATACAATTTACATGCTACAATGTGAAGACTATATAGGCTACTAATATGGCATAATTTCTATAGCATTGAAAAGAACTAAAGATTGTACAATTACGCTAGAGGGAAGTGATAGAGTAGATTTGTCTCACCTGCAAAACAAAAAACCCGCTGCATCCCACATATTTTTGAGTAAGTTGTTCCATAACAGAAAGATGATTCCAGAATGTAATAGTAGAATAATTGTCACTCAACCAATAATTTAATGATAACAAAATCTCATAATAACAATAATAATGATGATAATGGTGATAACAATAGTAACAGTAGTGATAATTTATGTGGGCTTGCTTAAGAGCAGCACTGTTCCTCTATTGGTCTATCCTTTAGGATCCAGTAATGATTAAGCTATGCTTCTTTTAATTTTGCCTGTTAATTATAAATATTTTGTTATTTCATCACAATTCCATTTTCGAGAATCAGCGATGTAGGGTGTGGTGTATTCATGTAGTGGAGACACACAATCTTTATTTGCTTTCTATATTCTGTCTTCATTGATCGATCCAACTATCAAATGAGCTGGTACAATAATGTTACTTCATTAAAGTACTTTTTACATCATCCAGTAGTCCCACAGTGATATCACATCTTGGGAAATGTTTAAAGAATCATAAGGAATATAGTTAATGCAATCACAAGCTACGAAATCAAACTATGGTTAGTTCAATAGTAAACAAAATTGTCACAATCCCTCTTTGATTTAAGCACTCTTCTTGACCTTGTGGTGATAACCTGTTTACTCTGAGAGGCTTGCTCCACAATCCTGCCAGGGAGTTCTGTACTTTTGAAAACGTCAGAAGTTTTCGTGGAAGAGTCATTATACTCCTCAGTCTTAGCTCTAGTGTCTACATTAATGTCATTACCAACATTCTTACTGGGCACGTGTTTAAGGAACTTCGCATTGCGTATCAAAGTGGTGCCCGTGTCCACATTGACTAAACTAAAAGTGTCTCTTTGGTCTCAATGATTACGTGTTTGGCCGCAGAGAAATGTGAATCTGGTTTGTTGGTCTTCATGTTGGCACAAAATACGAAATCGCCAATCTTGAAATTAGGCGTTTCTGCATTTTGCCAGCTGTCGTGATAGTTCTTCAAATGCGCTTGATACAAATTTCATTTTGACCGATCCTCACGGTCGAATGCCGATAATGCCGTGTTTGAATCGAATTTGATGCGCGATAGCGTAGTTCGAAGGCGCAATTGAACAAATTTGAAGCGGACTTGCTCTGTAGAGCATGATAATTTTAGGCAACTCCGTTTGCCAGAATTTTCCTTCGCTTACGGCTGCGCGAAAGTTTTTCTTTTAGTATCGGCGAAATCTCTCTAATTTTTTGTTGCTTCGCACGTAGTATGGAGACACACGAACGCGTTTATTCCACAAGATTTCCACAAGTTTTCCTTTTTCCGAAACGGCATGAACTAAAACACAGAGACGGTAAATGGTAGACGATAGACGGCAGACGATAGCCGATGGACTTTTAGACGGAACATGATCACGAAATTCAAAATTGTCACAAAATCGCGTAAATGTCATAAATATTTCTTTCGCAGGGTGTCCCGTTACAGACAACAAGCCAAGGCAGGTGAGCCAGCAATGCCTCTTTCAAGGCTTTGAATGCCTTTACTTGCCATGAGGACTTCTGCTCTTTTCGAGTAAGCTTTCGAAGTGGTTCTGGTTTATTCGCATAGTTTGGAATAAACTTAGAAACAAAGCCACAAGTTCCAAGAAACGACTGAAGATCGGTCTTGCCATGAATGATTACGTCACCGACTGAAATGTGAACATCCTGGACGCCAAAAAAAATTTCGTCCATCATCCACTGAAAGGGTTCGCTCGCGTCGCTGAAACCGAAAGGAGGTCTCTTAAATCTGTAACAAGCACGAGGCGCAATGAACGTGGTGATATAACGTCATTCTTCAGCTGGCGGTAGCTCAAGCTATAGGCGTACAAGGCTTAATTTCCCAGAAAAACCCCAAAGCCTTGTACGCATACTGCAATTCGCATGTCCTTAATCTCGTTATCGTAAAGGCATGCAGCTTGCCATTAGTTCGCAACATGGCTGGCACAATTACAGTATGCGCAAACATTTTTAATCATTCCCCTAAGCGGCAGAGGTGCTTGGAAAAAGTGATAAGCCTGGATCAGCTCGAGTCTCAAAGAACCAAGATTCGCGACCTTTGCCGTACTCGTTGGGTGGAGCGTCATGAGGCGTATGAAACTTTTGTTCAGTTACTTTCATCAGTTGTTAAAACGTTTGAGGTCATTTTACGTGAACAGCAACACCATGTCCTTGACGGTCACGATGAAAATTCTGGCGGTCATAAAGCTGATTAGCGTAAAGCTATAAAAAAAGATCAAATGACATTGTTACCGCCTACAATATGGAGACGGAGAAGGAGTTGAAAGAATTGCGAGACAAGAATGATTTTGTCTTCCAAAGATGGTACGCATATGCTGCGGAGATCAGTTCAGAGCTGGGCACGGAACCAAGCGCTCCGAGAACGGCGCAAAGACAAGTATGGGGCAAATGCACCCCATGACACATCTGAGGAATACTACCGCCGCAATCTGTTCATTCCATTCCTTGACCATATCACACAAGAAATGTCTTCAAGGTAATCTATATAAATTATCAACCGCTCGGCTGTTTACATGACGTTAAATATTTACAGATATAATGAATGATTGTTTAAACAGGCTTATTCATCACAGGGTTCTTTTTTTCAGATTTGGGTCCACTCAGAAGACTGCAGTGCAATTGCTTGGTCTTATGCTGAGTGCCATTGTAGCGGACACAAACGTAGACATAGCTGAAGTTCTCGAGATGTATATGTCAGATCTCCGAAGCCCACAGACTCTTGACATTGAATATGATCGTTGGATGAGAAAATGGCAATCCGAGACGGACAAACTAGACGCGCTTCAAACTGCCTTACAGGTTCGAAGTAACTCAATTTGTTTATATTAAAATTTTCCTTAGGTTAACAAATGATAGCTTTATTGGTTATATTTTCTGTCTATCTACAGGCTTGTGATCCCGACATCTTTCCGAACATCCACCTGTTGTTGCGAATTGCATGTACAATTCCAGTCAAATCAGCTAATAACGAGCACTCAAACAGCACTTTAAAACTGGTCAAGGGCTACCTACAGTGAGTATTCATTTTGAAAAGCCTGTCGATTACGATGTTCAGAAATTTGCCGAACAACAACCTCGTAGAAAGTTACTCGTTGATCCAGTGTTTGAGGAATCTTAATAAGCGTGACTTTTAAGAACACATTAAATAGCGAAGACAAATAAATTACAGTGATTTAAGTTTCCTTTTTCTAAGAGTCAGTTGATCTCAATTATTGTGAAGACTTAAACGTAGTCCTCGTTTAACAAATTAGCTTTAAAAAGAGATGTTTTGTTAAGGTATTAAACCGTCCACCATCATCCCTTAAAACGCTGGAAATCGCATTTCCGAGGACTTGAATTTCAAAATTTCCCGGCATGCCCCCCCCCAGATGAGTCTGCCTTTGGCGGCCCATTTCTTCGAACCTCCCTTTTTTGAAATCCTGGATCAGCCTCAGGAATGGAATGATTTCGTTGAAAAATACAAAACTCATCAGTTTTGTGAGTTAGCCAGTGCATCGAGGGATTTTGCGAGACAACTCAGAATTGGGAGTGTTGAAGGTTTTGCACCGATGCAAAGAGCCAAACCTTTAGTCTTGAGGCTCATCAGAGACAACTGTCAGATGAAGGTCAAGATGATTCTCTCATGTGAGATGTTGAGAGAAAATAAGGATGGTTCAGTCCAGCTTCAAGATGACTTTTTCCACACTGAAGTATTCAAAATCTTGAATAATTTGACATTTTCATGGAAACCATTCAAGAGAGGCTTCAGAATTTTAATCAAAGGAGACACAAGTGGAGATTTTAGAAGGTAATATCACTTGACATCCATCTTGCGGAATATAAACCGTTAAACAGCAGCTCTTACATCGAACTACGAGAATTCATTCCGAAAAAGAAGGCCTTCATTAACATCAAGAATGAGGATGAAGAACGCTTTAAGTGTTCAATAAAAAGAGTGAGGGTTATGGATAAAGCTCTGAAAAGTTCCGAAGTCAGCCCTTCGTATTCACCCTGGCGAAGGTCTAGCGTTCGAAACGTCACCTTTCAACTCAGTTAATAAATCGTATTGAATTTCTACATTTCTAATTGGCTGAACGGAGCCATATTATGAGCTCTTAGCCTAGTTACGGGCTCTTCGCTCACGTAGCTCCAACAAATATAGTCTAAGAATTCGTGAGCAAAGTGAGAAAAAAACCAGCGAGCCATGAGGTAACAGGGGAATAAATCGGTTCGCCGCTGTGCTTAAAATAATTTTAGTAACAGAACTTATATAAAATGCGCGTCCCATATCCACCAAAAAAGCCATCAATTCGGTGTGAAGTCTATGAAAACATTTCACGGTATGTAAGTAAACGTAAAATTAAATAGTTTTTATTTGCTAAATAGAAAACGAGATTTGCTTAGCTGATGCGATAGCATGTTGCGACAAGCAAAAGTAGGGTTACTTTTTTGATGCGAATCCACTGTAAGAATGGTGCTAGTCAGGCTTGACGAATAAGAGAATACGCATTCGAAGCGCGCCGCTGACCACTAGTTTCGTCGTGGAAAATGATCTCCTTCGAGTTCGAACACATGGGCTCAACTTCACTGCGCTCAGTTGGAGAAAGAAACAATAGCAGGCCTCTGTCTCTTTTGCAAAAGTATAGAAAAATGTCTTACCTAAGAACTGTTAAATCGAAAACGACTAAACACTGACTTCTGAGAGTAATTGTGCACACTCGAAGTAAGTAAATACAGAGAATTATCATTCATTTGGAAACCATAGCATACTGTGAAGTTTATGTCGATGGAAAAGACAGAAAATACACCAGTGACAGAACATGGCAATGGGAAGCAAAATGTCTTGTCGAAGGAAAGTTCGGAAAGTGACAGGTAGGTTTGACTGTATGGTTCCTGGTTTTGTATCTGGTGTTTTTGCTTTGTGACCGTGTCGCCCGTAGACATTTCGCCTCTAATTGAGGTCAATGCAACTCAGCTTACCATCAGAAACAAGCCTTACCTGGCTTGCTGATTGTTTCAGTTCATTTATCGACAGTTTTTCATATCAGTAGTCGAGGATGGCTGTCCACTGTAGTACGCAGGACTTAACAAATCGATGCTATCTTTTTCCAGTAATCGATATACATGTTAGTCGATTGAATCGACAGTCATCTTTCGTGTAATATCAAAAAGCGATGGAAATCAATCTGTTATTTTCAAAGATTATTGATTACAATATATTGCAAACTCAGATGATCAATTTCAATATTGAAAACTCTCAATTACTACAGATAGGTAAAACCTTTACATCACCCATCATTTTCGCCACTGAAGTGGTATATTTATAATATAACTGTAACCTAATAAAACTAGTTACAGTTGTCACTTAAACTTCCCCTGGCTCTTTTTTAACACCCGAATTTTTGGGAGATGAACTATATTTGTTTGTCTCATGATGTAGTCAATTTGGATGTTAATTGCAACGCTGCTGGTCTTCATCAGGCAATGAGGTCAATTGTTTATATGTTACTGTTTGTAGCACGTTGGTTTGCTGTTGCTGGTGCATTTCGATCCTCATTGTTATTCCCATTGTTAGATGGTGTTCCATCATAGGTTTACATCAATTGGCTGTTGTGTTGTTTGATTGTGGGTATCCAAGCTTCAAGAATTTCAATTCCGCTATCCCTATTGATGTTGTTGGGATGAAGTCATATATAGATAGCCTCTTTGACCCTATGCGTGTACCAGTGAGGGTCACAATAAATAAACTTAACCTTGCATTAACCTAGTGTTATGAACTCTACACATGAGGTGTCTAGAGTAAATAAGTCTGACTTGCCTGCTAAGGGGAACGGGATATCGACTTAGGTGAGGCAACAAATTGTAAGCAAAGGTGTTAATACATGACACAATAGGTCTTAATGGTATGTTGAGCTTGTGTATCTTAGGTAAGCTGTTGATCCTGGATCAACTCTTCTTAATGACTCCTTAATGCGTCTTGGCTGAATACAATCCTCTTTTCTACGATCTGCCTAGAAGAAAATGTAGTCTAGAACTTGGTGTACATGTAACTCTTAATATTTTGTTGAACATTGCTGTCCAGCTCTTCGTGGGATATGTCAGAAAATTCTGCATCTTGCTCAACGGGCAGCCCAAACTCAAGTCTATGATGATGAATGGTTTTGTCTGAAATGCCAAGGATCCTGGAAACATCAGCCAGTCGGAACCTTGCCTCTCCATGCCACATTCAGGACAAAAAGAGATTTTTTCCACCTACTCTATTGGTCATAAATCATTTCATATTTCTCCCTGTACGCTGGGGACTCTATTGTGCCTCCTTGGGGCCTGTCCTCTGGGCCAGAAGCCTGTCAGGCAATGATTCTGCACAGCTCTGGAAGTTTTGCTTGATATTAGACTCTTGCTTTTTTTCTCTTTTTTTTTAGCACATTGTCTGAGGAAGATACATCCAGAAATGACAAACAGTTGAAAGATCTAGATTATTGGAATCCAATGCTTGATGACTATGAATCTAAAGCATTCAACAGCTATAAAGAACCAAGCATAACAGATTTTGCAGATGCTTTTCCAGGGTAGGTATTTAAAGTACGGTCATGAGGCACAAGTTTTAAAGTGCACTTTATTCTGACTCAGTATCATAGGGTAGTGGTACTAGGGAGGTTGGAGAATACTCAAAGTTTTGCAAACCCTTAACTGCATATTTTGTTCGCATAACTCTCTTGAATTCTCCCAAACCCCACCCTTCCCATCTTGTGTTTGATAAGCGTGTTTTGCTTAGATCTAGCTTTGTACAACAATGTAAACTAAACTCGATTTTATCACTGCAGTTATCCTACAATGTGAGAAATTTGTTGTTAATATTTTCCTTGTATCCCTTTAAATTGTCTCTAATAAGGTCAAATTTATCAAACTGGCTTCTGATTTGGACCACAATAGAATCTTTATATTTAAGGGGGTGCAAACATGTGTGATATTGTTTGAACAAAAAATTCAACTTTCCTATAAATATTTAATTAAATATAATTACAATTACTATAGTTCACTGTTCTAGAGGATAGGCATGCTAGCCCCCATCAACAACTGTTCATACATCAAGGTCCAATTATCCTGATTAACATGCTGTACACTCTTGGCATTACCAGTCACACAGAATTTGGAAAAAGTGCCAAAATTTGGGCTCTTGATGATGAATAGTTTGGTAAGGTGTTACTTAAGTCATTTTGCATACTCGCATAACTTTCTCTTTTTGAAAACTTTGGTGTTAAATTAGTTTTTGTGCACAGTGCTATGGCCCTTTGCGGTGAAGTGAAATATGGAATCACTTATAATTTCATCTCGAACAGGAATTTAAGTGAGTCAGTGCATCAACACATGATGTCTTCCCTAGAAATTAATGAAAAAGATGCTTGCCTTTTTGTAGGCAAAATTCCACAGCAAATGACTCAGGTATGAAATAAGTCTTGATTGTTTGAAGGGTTCAAGTTTGTTAATTTACAGTTTTAGTGGAACAAATTACATGTTGCCCTTCCAATGAAATTCAAGTGAAGAAATGTGAAGAACCTTTTAACATCTGCCTTGCCTCCAACATGTGGTTTTGTAGCTCAGTTGTTAGTAGTGCAAGGTATCAGAGAGGCACAGGTTAGAAGTCTGTCAAAGCCTGAATTTGTTAGGGCTTCCTTTCTGTAGTTGCTTAAATTGCAGCTCACTTGCAAGGCTCATTCTTCACTTGGATTTATTTATGTATTAATTTATTACAAATGCAAGCCATAGCTGAGCAAAAAAGGACAACATTTCATTTACCTTAAAGAGTATTTTTGTTAGCTAGGCAGCATCTGAGGTTCAAACTTGTAAACAGGGCTGTTTTACAGAATAAACCCATGCCATATAATGTTCATAACAGCAGAGTTCGCCATCTTCACACCATAGAAGGCTAAAAAAAGAAAGTGTCCCACACAGCATTGCAACATTGCACAGCTGTCAATCATCATGCATGGCCCAAGTCATGCAAATAAAAATCACAGAATTTCATTCATTGTTCTTCTCAAAGTTTAATTGAATTTTTGTGTGAGATTTCAAGCAAAGATTCTCTCCTGCAGTTCATGTCATTTTGCCAGAACAAAGAGTCCATTTGGAAAGAAAAAACAAAACAATTCTCCACTCAGCATGCTTGATTTACCTGTCATATAATGATTAGAGCCCCAGTATGTTTAACAGAGTAAAGTTTGGATAAAGGAAAGAAGGAGAAGTTGAGTAAATATTTATGAAGTTCATGAGACAAAAGTGTTCAACAAATCCAAGAAAGGGTCAAACAGAAGGAAAATCTAATGGACATGGAACATTTTGGAGTATTTATTGACATTTAAGCTGTTTGTAAGCTCATGAAAATAGATTTTTCCTTTTTTTAAAATTTGTCTTGAATGTGTTTTCCTGTGATCAAAACTGGTTTTAATGATGGGTGTAGGCCCACCTCGGTTTTCATGTGTTCACTTTACGCGTTCGCATTGTTTTTCTTTGTGTTGAAATTTACAGTTAAGAGTTTTGCATTATTTAGCACTGATTGATTTCCCTTCATTCCTTGGTTTGAATTAAGCCTTTCTGGAAAATGGGCTTTGCAGTTTTTTGCTGGATTTCCTGAGATGGGACCTTTTAAGTCCTAACATCAAGGTGTCAAGTGCTAGCAACTGATTATTATGACTTTGGAAATATATTGCTCAACACAAAATTTTTTTTCCACACCAACTGTAATGTAATTGAATGCAATTATTTCTCAATTCATGGCCTCAGTTTTGTGACTATTCATTTGCTTGGTTCAGATTATCCCTTCTAAAAATATACATGAAAAAATTATACTTGTCTGATTGGGTGAAAATGAGTGCATTTTTCTTGTAACACAAGTGTAAGTGCAAGTGCAAGTTGTAACATGAATGCAAATTAAAAATTGTGCTTGCGTGCTGTCAAAATTTTGTCTGTCTTGACTTTCTGTGATGGTTTTTTCATGTCAATTATTAACAAGTAACATGATTTCTTGTTCAGTACATAAGCACTTGTAAATTTCTCCAAGACTACAAATTGCACTTGCCCTTTGGGCCTATGCAATTTTGTTGTCTGTAAAATATTTACTGGTACTTATTAACACCAAATTGCACCCAAAATATGTTATTACCTATACTTAGTGTGATGCACTGCATTCATTGGAAATGGCAAACTTCAGAACGGGATTAATTTACAAATGTGTATGTTCACATTTTCGGTGAATGTCAGTGAGAATGGTGGTCAGTGATATTTTAGCTTGATGGAGGCCTTGTTGCAAATTTTGTATCAGACCAAAGTTTGTCAAGAAGCCTGGACTTAAGTCAAATTTTGTCAACATAGGTTTGCATAACTTTTGCACAATACTGTAGGTGACCTCATCTTAGGGACATTTTAGTCTCAAAGTAAATTCAAAGCAGATCCAATTCAGGACTCTACATTTCTGTATGCAAAATAAACTAACTTCCCAGAGTCATTTCAAATCAGCCACAAGTGTTTCGTCAACTTAATTCTAGAAGTCCTGAATATCTTTCTTCCAATGACTTTGCCACAATTCTTTAAGTAGTCAATGATTTAATGCAGAATGATCAACATATTAGAATTCCAAAAATGTCTCTTCTTCATAAAATCAACTACGTTTAACCTAGAAAACATATAATTTCAGTTCTCTCTTTGGAATGCAAACCTCAGTGTAAATTAAAAGGTAATGCTTGCACTGAACCTAAACAGATGGACCTCTTTGGGTTAAACCTTTGCACCTCAACATCGGTATCCATATTCTCCATACGCTCCTTCATACATTTTCTTTGGTATTGACAAGGAGAACTCATTTAACAATCAAGAGCCTCTTTCTGTTGGTATCATTTTCTTTATTCTCATAAGCTTAATGTTTGCTTCAGGGGTGATATTGTGGAGGAAATTAGATGCTAGGCACTCTAAGGGGTTAAAGGGTAAATAATAACAACAACAAAAAGGGCCCACAACACCAACTGCTTCCACTCTCCAAGAATGTTTCCTTTTGTTTTATATGCAGGAAGGCTTGCAGAACCTCTTCCAACAGGCTGGCCAACTGAGGTCTTGTAAATTGATTCCTCAGCGCAATAAAAGCACTAAGATTGGGTAATACATGTAGCAGTCATTTTTCTTATCTACTTTTGTGTCAAACTGAATATTTTTCTTATGTGAATTGAGTTGCACAGGATGAATTGTTTTCCAAAAATATTGCAAACCAAAGAAGTAAGGTACTTTTATTTTTATAGTGCATTAGGGCTGTTTGCACAGGAAAATAATTTGCTCTAACATTAGGCTTTAACTTATCTTATAGACCATGCATCAAAGGGGAATTGTCTATGTTTATGGGTATAAATACGTTTTGGGTCCAACTCAGAGTCATTTCAGTCTAAGCCAAATGAGAGATAACTAAACTATAAATCACAACTGTAACAAGCTGAAATAAGCCAAATATGTTAAAAGCGAGTTTGGAATTAATTACTACATGTATATACCACGCTGATAAACAGTGTTTTTTGCACTTGCTGATTGGCCAACTTGGATGTTATTGGCCAGGTACTAGTCACTTCCGTGCAGCAGAACAGCAACTTAATTGCTTTATGCTTTATCGCGGTTACCAGAGAAAATTGTTTTGATGAACAAGGCAAGTGTTTAAAAAAGGTTCCACCAGAAAGGGCAAAAAAGGTACAGAATAGGGCCTTTTTGAGCGATTTACTGCTGCAAACTATTATCGTTGGCATGGGCAAAAGGGACACCATTTGAAAATAAGCGAGCGAGATAAGTCAGAGCTTCTTATGATGGAAGCTCAATTTTGTGAGACGACATCTGATCAAAAGGAGATTTTTTTTTATTTTACACAATCGTTTACTTTAACAGTTCCTAGGACAGTTTCCCATTATTACAGTAAGTATCGTGCGGCGTATGGCATGAACATACTCTCACAATAGTCATATATTGTGTACCACCATGTTTTAAATGAATGTATGAATGATTAAAGTGCAATCTCGTGCGGTTTTTACTTCAGATTTGTGGGCTTTAATACTGTACGTGACGCAGAGGCAGCAATACAAATGTTTGATGGACTTGATTTGGGGCATGGTAACCGTCTGAAGGTTGCACTTGCACTGTCAAAGCAGAAATCGGCCTTCACAGACTCCGTGGAGAAAAAGGGCGATGGTGTAAATGATAAAGACGAAGTACATACTGATCATGAAGTAGTTTCCAGGTAAAAGCAAAATCCTACTTGCAAGTTGAGAGCTTGAATTGTTTGCTAGGGTCTCAATGAAATTATGTTAATTAGGATTTTGACTTGGAAACTTCTGTTAAACATTTGTGAAGAGACAGCCTTCACAGGGCGAAAGGGGATTGGCTGAAATTTGAAATTAAAACAAGCTCGATTACTTATTCAAAAAAATTACCTCGAGATCGTAGAGGGTGAGATGAAGAACTTAACTTAAAGCACGTGGGAAAGTTGTTAGAGCGTGGAAGAATCATAAGAGTTCATCCTAAGAAAAACTACTTCCTCTGGAGTGAAGTGAAAGTTTTATTGTGTGTATCGTCAGTATCCCAGCAGTTTTTTGTTTGCTTGTTGGAAATATGGTCATTGCTCTTGGTTCAAGCCTTTTTCCTTTCACTAGGTCTGCCTTTTTTTCTGTATGATACAATGTTGCGTCAATAATTTCATTTTCTTTTTGTTGTTTCTGTTATTTGAGTGGTTTATTATGACACTATTTACGTCATACCACCCTCATATCCACATCTTTTGATGTTTTTGTTTTTGCCCTATAACAGTGAACATAAAGCTGCTCTAGATGACGTATCAAGTGTCTTTCCTAATTCCAAGCTTATATCCGAAGGTAACTGAAAGTCTTGGTCAGATTGAGGTCAAATTACTTGCTGTTGGTTTCTTACAAAGTTTAACCGAATAGTCAATACAGAAGCACGATTTTAGTAAACTTTGCCCTAAACGCCTTTTACAACCAGACTGTTGACACAGCATTGACTGATATCTTCTTTCTCTCCTCTTCTCCTAAAGGAAGTCCATGTAGCTTTTGTGGCCAGTTAGGACATAAATGGTGCTCAGCGTGCAAAGTTCCGTACTGTAGTCGAGACTGTCAGAGAAATGACTGGCCGAAGCACAAACACGCTTGCTGGCAACAAACTCGGTCTGAGAGAAAAACAGCCACCCTTGCAGACACTTCGAAAACATGTCTGGAAACTGCTTCTGCCTTGACCAGAGCAGCAAATTCTGTGCAGCAAGCTACTCCAACTCACCCATTTACTCCTTGTGAGGACTCAACGTATCCAAGTAAGGAACCTACTATCTCTGAGACGCCCACGAATTCCGAAAAAAATGGCGAAAAGATCTCTAAGAAAGTCGATCAGGAGAGTGTGAGGGTAGCAGAGAGTGATGAATTTGATGTACAGAATGCTGAGATGTTTGCCCAGATGATGGGTTTTGACCCAAATCCAGTGACGACTGTGGATAGTAGTGAAGACAGCGACAGCGCTGATACCTCAACATCTCCATCCTTTATGAGCAACTTGATGCACGAAGACTCCGGTCTTCAGGTGCTACATGCCGAAACGGGTCTGCTGAAGTCAAGCCAAGAAAGCCAAGTGAACCAATCAAAGTCAGAAACCAGTTTATCCCCAGAATCAGTCAGTACTTCAAAAGTGGCCGTTACAGATTCAGAAACATCTTGCTCAGAGCTTCCGTCCTCTAGCAAGGGTCCCGTGCGAATCCCTTTAGAGCAGCTCCAGATGGAGAAAATTTCAACAGAAGATTTTGAAGTTGTTGTTATAGAAGTTGAAAACCCAAGCTGCGTGTGGGTTCATTCGTGTGCCTCCGACGCCTTTGAAAGACGAAACCAACTGAAGAGTATTCTTCAAGCGACATACCGTGATTCTGTGTTTGAAAATTATGCGCCAAGTGTTGGTGAAGTATGCGTTGCCCAATTTAGCTTTGACAATTGCTGGTATAGAGTGAAAGTTGATTTGGTTATCAGTGCAGGAACCATGAGATGTACATACATAGACTTCGGTAATCAGGAGGACATTGCAGTACACAAAATACGTCGCATAACAGAGGACCTACTCAGTCTTCCCAGACAAGCTCTCAAGATGTCCCTGTATGGAATCACGAGTACCTCTCCATCAGGTGTTTGGTCTTTGGAATCAACCATTTTTCTAAAGAGTGAAATCTTAGCGAAAAGGTGTAAAGTTCGAGTACGTGAACAAGCTGATGAAACATTGTATGTGGAATTGTCAGCTGCTCATGGAACACGCATGTGTGAAACAGTCAATAAAACCCTAATAAAAGCTGGCTTTGCTGAAATAAAGAGTCAAGGAGATCAAGCCAACGGATCACATGGACAAGACGATGTGTGCGCGGAACAAATAGGCAGCTCTGACAAGTCACCTTATTTTGGCGACATTTCTGCGAAGAGGCCGTTGAATACTCATCCGTATGAGGAAGGGAGGAATCCTCCTAGACTTCACAGTCAATCAAAGGGAGGTAAAGTGCCATTTGAAATCGTCGTCAACGCCATTGTGAATCCATGGGAATTCTACGCAATGAAGACTGAAAAACAATTGATAGACAAGCTCAGATCATTAATGGAAAATTTAAATCATCACCTATCCAAGAATCCTTGTACTATCGAATGTTTAGCACGTCTTTCTCCCGGTGATATGTGCGCTGCCCAATTCTCGCAGGATAAAGTTTGGTATCGTGCTGTTGTCTTAGAACAAGTTCTCGATGGCTACAGGGTTCGTTATGTAGACTTTGGAAACAGTGAAGTGGTGCAAGAAGGCAACGTATGGCCTCTACCTCAAGAGTTTCAGAGATTACCCCCACTTTCATTGACTTGTTCACTAGCAGGTGTGAAGAAACCAAAGACACAGGGTTGGAGCCTGGAGGCTATACAAGAATTCAAGGCTTTGGTGGCTGATAGAACATTTTTGTGTAGGATTGTTTACACGCATGGAGTCACCAATATTGTTGAATTACTTGATCCAAACCGTGGTGGAGAGGAGTCAATAGCCAACTCACTTATAGGGGCAGGTATATGTTAATAAATTATTTTTTATTGGTTTCTTTGAAACGTCTTCATTTGGCACGAAAATGTGCATGGATATTTGTTCGCGCACATTATCTGTTCCGAGATGCGAAGAGTTTTCCGAGATGCGAAGAGTTTTCCGAGAGCGTAGCTCGAGGAAAACTGTGAGTTCTAAGGAACAGATAATGTCCAAGAATAAATATATTAGCATATCGTGCTTCTGGAGACTTCTGTGCCCATTATCCTTTAAATATTTTTGCCACGAGCGGGCAAAAAAATGTTAAGGGACAGCTTACCGTTTGCTGTGTGGGATGTTCACTGTTCAGTATTGTCTGGTACAACTACATGAACAAACAGATATGGCCTCTAGTGGACAGTTCAAACCCCATTTCAAGTTTTATGCCATTAATGGGAGCCTTTCTGAGACGCCATTGACGACACATATTACCAAAACATATCACACCTGAGAGATGACATCTAGTTGTGATCACGAAGAAATGTTATTCATTGATTTTCCCCAAACTGAATAAAAGCTTTCGCTTTCTCTTAGCGACCGTAAGGGGGGAATATCTTTTCTGTGACCATTTCCACTTTGCTTACGTGCTCTGTAGATAGTGGATACCAGGTTTGCCTGAGGGAATCCAGGTCTGCGTGCCTCAAAGCTAACCAAAGTATTTATGCTTAACTTTACTCAGGTCTTGCCGATCCATTCTTACCCAAAGAAGGTCACAAGCAACAAATTAATTCAAGAAGGGAGATGCTATCTATAACGCCACAGCGTTTGAGAAATGGAGAAAATTCAGTGAACAAGGACCCTTCGAATGTTGTCACAGATCCATTGAACCAACTATGGCCCAATATTGATGGGGGAGGTTCGTTGCCAAAAGATCAAATACTAGACATGACTGAAAAGGAAAGAATAGAATCTGTTGTCTTTGAATCAGCTATCGAAGCAGTGACGTTGGCTCAAGATTCTGAATTTGATATTCTGGTAACTGAAGTGGTTTCTCCTGGGCTTATTTTCTCTCAGCTAGGAACGGTAGGATCTTTGCAGATTGCTGTCAAGTTGACCGAGGATATGAATTTGCATTATAACTCAGCGACCTACCCACCTTTTGTTCCACGCCAGAATAGCCTGTGTGCGGCGCACTTTGCTGGAAGCGGGGACTGGTGTCGAGCATTTATCAAAGGAGTCTCTCCTGATGGGTCTGTCTCTGTGCAATATGTGGATTACGGAAACACTGAAATACTTCCACCAAATCGCCTACGGCCTCTAATTCCCCAGTTTGATTCCAGTGCCTTGTCTTTTTTAGCACTGAGATGTTCGTTGGCAAATATTGTCTCTCTTGACAAATCGGAATGGTCTGATGAAGCGGTGGCGTTCGTTAAAGCCCATCTTCCGTTATTCAGTAGACGGACAGTTCGCTTGGTTGGAAGACAGAAAGGAATACTATTTTTGGAGGTGAAAGTAGAAGATGAAAGTGTAAGTTCAATGCTGGTAAATCGGGGGCTAGCAAGAGCAATGGCGAAAGGCTACCAACATCGGCATCTGAATGTGAAAGAGTCTACGCCAACTGCTAGACGATTGGTGGCAGTTGACCGAAATGTCCTTTCAAACGGCCGTTGTAAAGGGCACGCCTCAAGCGCATTGGAGTCCTTGGTATTCTGCCCCGCAATTCAGGCAGCTGTTTTACCACAAGACAATTCACTTTTTGATGTTATGATCACGGAGGTAACAAAATCAGGTGTTTTCTTCATACAAGTAATGGACTTTTATACTGCCCTTAGCTTACAGAAGCTTTCAGAGAAGATGAATTCGTCTTATAATTCGTCACCGTCAAGTTCCTACAAACCTCAACCAAACCATTTTTGTGCTGCTCAGTTTACCGAAACGGGTGACTGGTGCCGTGCATTTATCAAAGAAGTAACTTCTCAGAATTTGGTGGAGGTACATTACGTTGACTTTGGGAACACAGAGAAACTTCCGGTGTCAAGTATCAAGCCTCTGATGGATAGCCTAACAACATACCCTTTTTTCGCTCTACCATGCTCATTAGCAAATTTGCCACGACCCGAATCTCTTGGAGGGGAAGATAAAACAATGGAACTGATCAAGGAAAAAGTTCCCCTTTTTCAACGTGTTAGTGCCAAAATAATGGCCAAACATCGTGGTATGCTACTTGTCGACTTAATGGTTTCAAAGGATCAGCCTCAGTTTCTTAGTCAACTACTGCTGAACGAAGGGCTCGCTCTGAAGTCAGTTGTAAATGAAAGCCAACGCGAGGATAATCAAATGGAAATTGAGATGAAACGTTCGCAAATACAGGATTCATTGGAGGATGCATCAACTTCAAAACCTCACGGGAGCATTGAGTCCCTCGTATTTCAGCCAGCTATCCAGTCAGTTGCAGGTTTCGATTCCTTTCATGCCATGCTAACCGAAGTTGTGTCTCCTTCTTCACTTTTTATTCAGATTTTGAGCCACGAGAAAGTTGAAAGGATGAAGCATCTGTCAGCAAACCTGAATGCTCACTATAATAATACAAATTATCCTCCTTTCAAGGCCCAGGCTAGCGTTCTGTGCGCTGGATTTTTCTCCGAAAGTGGGGACTGGTGTCGAGCTTTCATCAAAAGTGTGAATGCGAATGGCTCAATTAACCTTCATTATTTGGATTATGGAAACAGTAAAGTCTGTTCGTCATCCCAAATAAGACCTTTAGAGAAACATTTTCAGAACCTACCACCTATGGCGTTAAAGTGCTCATTATACGGAATTGGTCCTGTGCAGTCGACTGGATGGGCGGAAGATACCTGTAAAGCGTTGCTTTCCCAAGTGCCCCTATTCAGCCGCCTGGAAGTGAAAGTGATAAAGAAAGAAAATGAATCGCTGTTTATTGATGCTATATCTCCACTTACCCCACAACAAGTAACATTGAACCAGTTTCTTGTAAATCACGGTATGGCTCAGTGGCAAGATTTCTCAAGTGCACCAAAAGATGTTTATACGTCTGAGGAAGAAGTAAATACAAGGGAACACGCTTCGTGGACAGCGCAGTTTGCCTTTGAAGCTCTTAGTGGTAACAGCAATCGCTTTTATGTGTCCAAAATCCCTTTGGTGGATATTTCACAGAGCGACTCTATCCAAGTTCTTATAAGTGAGGTTCAACGACCAGACAAGATTTTCTTTCAAGTCCTGAACGAAGAAAACGCTCACGGACTTGATGCTCTTTCACGAAAATTAAATACCTATTGTTGTGAGGTAGAGAATAGTCCCTATAAACCAGTTCTGGGGGAGCTTTGTTGCGCCCGTTTTAACCAAGACGGTGTTTGGTATCGAGCCGCAGTTGAACAGGAACTGTCAGAATCCAGGATGTCAGTGTTATTCGTGGATTATGGTAATCAAGACTCAGTCACAGTTGATTCGGTAAGACGAATTACCGCTGAATTTACACAACTTCCTTTGCAAGCCAGGCAGTGTTTTTTGACAGGCATACTCCCCGTGTCGCAGTCATGGTCGTCCGATGCGGTTAACTTCTTAAGAGGGCGCATATTGGGTGAGACGTTTGTTGCTCAGATTGAAAATGTTTCTGAAGAAAGCGTAGGCGTTCATCTGTTTGAACATCACCAAAGAAATTTGCCTCCTCATATTTCCGTCAATCAAGATATGGTCGAGCACGATCTTGCTCGCATTCAAGCGCAATCCGTTTGCTCGAAGGTATAAACTCTGTTTTCAAACGAACACTTCGATGTTGTAATTACGGAGGTAACACATCCAGGGGATATGTGGGGACAAGTCCTTCATGCTGAGTCGCACAACATGTTCCGTTTATTTACGGAGCAATAGAACCGATACTGTGTATCTGCGGCACCTTTCTTAACGTTTATTCTCAATCTCAGTGAGGATTGTTCTGTACTGTTCTCGCAGGATGATACATGGTACAGAGCATGTGTGTTGGAATGACTTGAATCAAGAAAGAAATTAGTTCAGTTTGTAGACTTTGGAAATAGTTAAACGGTATCACCTGACAAGATGAGATCTCTAAAGGACGACTTTGTTTACCTCCCTGCACAATTGTTTGAGTTAAGCCTTGCAAACCTTCGTCGTCTACATCAGATTTGGAGTCAAGAAGCACTGGATTCGCTCAAAAGTACAGTAAACCGAAAGTTGAAGGTGACAATTGTTCATCGTTAGCCAGACCAGTTGAATGTGTTACTTAAAGACTGGAATGTTCCCGATGGTCCGCTTCGTATCAAAAATTTACATGTGCTTATTATAACAAATTGCTATCATGCGCACTTTCCATGGAAAAATCGCTCTATATTATACTCTTCTTGAGCAACAACTAATTTCTCATGCTGCCAAGGACTTATCATGTCAATACCAAACCAAAAACGTTTGTAATTTGATATTTTTGCTTTTTGTAATTTGTACCTGTGTTACAACTTTGCGCATGTGGTACAACTTTGCATTCATCTTACATTAAAAGTGCATTTTGTTTTCAGCCAATCAGAAGCGCTCAACTTTATCTTATATTGTTAGGTGAGTTATCTTGCTCGTAATTTATCACTCGTACGATTGAAAAAAACAAAGATATACATGGAAAAATTTCTTAATTTTAATTGCTTGAGAGAAATGCAGGTTTCACTTACGCAAACAGATGGAAGATAATACAGTTTATAATGTACATAAAAAAATTGCGCACTTTTGATTGGCTGAAAACGAGTGCATTCTCATGAAACACGAATGCACGAATCAAAGTAGCACGCTTTCAAATTTTGTCTGGAGTTTCTGCGATGTTTTTTCATGTACAGTATTAACAAGTATTAACATGATTTCTCGTTCAATTTGTTGTAATAAGCATATGTAAATTTTTCAAATACTACAAATTGCTCTTGCCCTCGGACTCGTGCAATTTTGTTGTCTTTGAAAAATTGACTCGTGCTTATTTACTCCGAATTTTGCTCGAAATCATGGTATTACCGATACTTATTGAGTGCAAAAAGTTGACAATTCGTTAACCCGGGTTAAGAATTTTTTTGCGACTTAAAAACAGCAACAACAAAAAAACTTTAAGTTTGCTGCCAATGACTAATTATGTCAACGACAAATTTATTTCACTGAATTGCACTCGAAGTCATGTTATTACCTATACTAATTTGGTGCAAAAAAGTTAACAAACTGTGAAGCTGGGTTAAGAATTTTTTTGTGACTTAAAACAACAACAATGATCTCTTAGAGGGTCGTCTTGAATAAACTGTGTTGATCTGACCAAGCGCACAGTGGCGTTTGTAAGGTTTGAATGGATTATTCTGGCAAGTGATTTGCGCGCTATTCCTCTGCTTAATTTTGAAAAGCGAGCTTATCATTAGCTTACTCGATTTTTTCAAATTACAATCGAAATTATTGATTTTTGAAAAAACTTATTATGTATCTTGAGACAAGCTGTATTGAAGGGGGGATCTCATTGGGTTAATTGTTAGCTGTGAAACAGCAAAAACATCGGCCATTAGACAAAGATATTGACAAATTTTAACCGTAAGTCGTAAAAATTTCAACTTTAAAAATTTTTATTTTAATCGCAACGGAAAGAAATCGACGGTTCGCCAGAAAATGGTCAAAATTTTAAACAGCCACAAAGAGCATATCTACGGGCGAGAAAGAAGGGGCAACACAGGGTAGAGGTTGGGCGATGAAACGAGCGGTCTGCCGTTCGTGCAATGTATGACGCAGAGTAGTACTGGCTCGAGCGCTGTCCGCGCTTCTGGTGTGTTACGAAGTCGCCAAAATTTCCAGTAATGCGTCATGAATAAGCAAGTTTTCGACAGGCTTGTCAGCTGCTCAACGAGTTCATGTGTGCATTAATATTTATCAACAATTTTTTAGCGAAAGTGACTAAAATTTAACTTTAGTCTGAAGTTGTTAAATGTTTGCTTTCGCCTCGAATCATGACCTTGTTGTCTTTTTGCAGAAATAGCGATTGTTCCTAATTCTTCCTAACCCCAAATCTTACATAAAAAGTGACAAATCTATGATTTATGGCAAATTCAGCAGCAGATATGGGGAGATAACAGAGTTATAATTATATCTTTAACTTTGTAAACTTTTATTGAAACGCACTTTTGGATCACCATGCCATTACATATATGTAAACAAACGACTATAAATTCAACTCACTATCTCTTCTGATTACGCGGAGGCGTTCGGTTAATTTCTGAAATCAGTGCCAGGGACGTCGTGTAGCAGCAGATTGTACAATAATCGTGTCAATGACACTCGAGGTTACGGGTAATCATGTCGCGGATAATCTGAACTATTTCTGGTAAATGGTTTGAACCGGGGGGTAACATGTAATAGTGTAGTCTGATGATAACTTCCGCTCAGGTTGTCGAAACGTCAGTCACCACTACCGACAACAGTCCTTCTCAGGACTACACTCACCCGGACGATCAAACTACACTATTACATGAACGATTTCTCTTACATTATGTGCTGAGACTTTCACCTAGAGCAACGCTTCGTCGAATGGTCCAAACAAGCATGGCGAGCAACTAACTTTCATTTGCATCTCCGTGTTAAAATATGACTCTAAAGCATACTTCTCTCTGATCGGGCAGAAAAACACAAAGATATTCTGGCACCAATCAGAAGCCAGAACGATTGCGACCGTTTGGAACTGGCCTGCTAAGACAACGTCCCTAGGGGCTCTCTAGGCCTGACTTGAAAGCGACTCGCAGCCCCTGGGTCTCCGAGGATGAACCTGTCGTTAGTTCTGCTTAATGTTCTTGAATTGTTTTAGTTGCTAATTCCAAAGATATAAATTCTTACAGCCTATATTTCGAATCTTAGAAACAAACGTCCGGGTGAAGGACTGTTGTTGGTAGTGGTGACTGACGTTTCGACAACCTGAGCGGAAGTCATCATCAGAGTCGAGTGAAAGGTTGTCAGTCGAATGTACTTGGTCCGGTTTGTGTACACTGATTGGTCAGTTTTGCTGTGATGTTGTTAGCTGTAAGACTCAAGTAGCGTAGGTCAGTCGTGATTAGTCGGTTTGGATCCGTTAGTGAAGTTAGGTCGTTCTGTTCGGTTCGTTTGTAATGTTAATGTCGTGGATGAGTCGTTTGTATGGTGCCGGTAGTGGTTGACACCTGTTGAGGGGAGTCTGTTCCAAGTTCGTAAACCAGCTTTCCAGGGTCAGTCGTTGAAAGTAGTTGGTGCTGTAGGTTGGGCATTGCGCAGAGTCCCAGTCAATAGTGTGGTTCGTAAATCGGTGATGTTCAGCAATATGATCGTTGACATCGCCTTTCCTCGTCGCTCGTTTGTGTTCAGTCAGTCTAGTTGCGAGGTTTCTGCCAGTCTCACCGATGTAGGAGGCGTGGCAAACGGAGCAATTGATCTTATATACTGCTCCTTGTCTGTTCCTCGGTGCGTCTCTGTCTTTGATGTAAGCCAGTAACTGACGTAGTGTGGTAATAGGGTTGTGAGCGACGCGGATATTGAATGGTTGTAGGATGCGTGAGATGTTCTCAGATATGCCCTTTATGTATGGTATAGTAGCTGTGGTCGTAGGAGTTGCGTTGTCGTTAGCTTCGGTAGTAGTAGTAGGTCTGTGAGTGTTACGTTGGATGAAGTCTCGACAACGAGAGCTACATACCTGAGTCTACTAAGGATAACATGATTACGCTACGTTTACGATACTTTCACCGCCGTACGACACAACGAAATCGACGCATTCCACCACCACCTTGACGAACAAAACACTGACATACAGTTAACTAGAGAGGTCGAAGAAAATGGTAAACTACCTTTTCTAGACTGCTTGGTAAGCCGTGACGACAGTTCACTACGGACAACAGTTTACAGGAAACCGACACATACCGACAGTTACTGGACAAGTCATCCTACAACCCGACATCACACAAAGCCACTACTATCAGGACTCTTACCCGACGAGCGCAATTAGAACAAGTACCTTAACCGTGTTTTTTCAAAGAACAACTACAACGAAGACTTCATCCAATCAGTGTACACAAACCGGACTAAGTACATTCGACAGACAACAACCTTTCACTTGACTCTGATGATGACTTCCGCTCAGGTTGTCGAAACGTCAGTCACCACTACCGACAACAGTCCTTCTCAGGACTACACTCACCCGGAGATCAAACTACACTATTACATGTTACCCCCAGGTTCAAACCATTTACTGTATTCCGAATTGTGTTTGTAAGGACAGAACCCGCGTTAAAGGTCACATCGACATTCTTTGTGATTTAAACAAATAAAGGATACCAAGTGTATAACCATACCATGGTATAACTATACCAAGTGTGTTTCTTTCAACTTTGCTGTATTTGTGCACGCTCTTCGTCGCAGTATACTACTACTTCTTAGCCTTTATTTGATGTAAGTTTCATACGATTTCATAAACATCGTGGAAAATCACTTTGCGAATGTCACTCTGGTTTCGCTTTACGCAAACCGATTGTAATTTTTGTGGTATCAACAAATTTTATTTCATTTAATGGTGACGTTCCATAATTGAGAGGCAACGCATATCTTTTGAATCCCTTTCCCTTTTCGCAATGTACCACTACATCCAGGCTTAATGTGAGTTTCATACGAAAGGCTGCACATAATGGAAGTGGTGGCGAGTTTGTTGTGGTGGCGAATTGACTGGATACCGATATATCGAGTTCTGTGGTGGCACAGGCAAATGTATTATTCACAAAATGGGTTGACAACTTGACACGTGGCCTATAAACCGTTTGTGATTTATTTAATAATCTTTCAAAAAAATAACTAAGAAAGTTAAAACGTGAGGTATTTGGTTACTGTTAAATTAATCAATGTAGCGTTCTTTCATTTTATGTCTGAATTATCCAAATCTGTTTTTTGTAACACGTTGCGCTAAGTTGTAAGTTCTACTAGGGTTCCTAATCCGAGACTGGGATTATTGAAAGGCTGGGATCCGGGAATTTAAAGTGAGAAGGGACTGCCATTATGAGCGGGATACGGGAATCGGCGGGTTCGGGAAGCGGGATTCGGAAAATAATCACTTCAACGAACCAAGAACCGAGATATCCGTTGACGAGAATTTATGAAGAAATTTATCTTCTCAGTTCATGATAAGCACCAAGCGAACAGGCAGCGGTCGGGCTGTTATTGCGCGGGAATGAAAATTATATCAGAAGCGAAGTTGCCAAGTTACCAAAAATCCTCAATGGCCCGGAGGGCAACGAGGCATCTAAGACTGCTACGTCAGTTGAAATGTTTAACGCCCTTGAAAAACCTCCAGGAAGTCTCATAATTATACCAATTTGACGCTCTTAACGTGTTGAGTTGCATGACACTAGACGTGAAGAATATTCAGTTAATCTTTTGACATCACAAAGATCAACGTTTCACGGTGTTAGATTACCCAAGAAACTTTGCTAATGCAGCTAAAGAAGGCTTAAAAAGGAAAACCCATTGGGCGGCGTACTATTTAACAAACTAAATTCTTGATAACCTGTGCTTGAACGTGCCATGATCCTGTCGGCCATACCATTAATTTAACCGTTACCACCTGTACCGATGGCCCCACATAGCATACCGAAGAGGAGAGACTGAGCGTAAACATTTGTCGCAGCAGTGCGTCAGCGCTCTGTCAAATAGGAAACAACGATGGCAAGAACTGGAACTCCCCTCTCGTTCCTCTATCAGAGAGAAATTAAGCCGATCGAACTGGTCCGCCTCGAACGCTCTGACTTCGAGTAGCAGCAAGAAAACAGCGGAAAACAAGACGAAGAGGAAGATGGAATACAAAAGTACGATTCCCCTAGTGATAATGGTGACATTCCATCTTTGGAACAAGAAGCTGATTTTCACCCCGCTTCGTTAGAAGTATTCTCCTCAACAGCAGAATTGTGTTCAGTTGATTTGTCTTTATCTTCCATGTTATGAAACTATGGGATTTCCATCACCTTTTGTTTTTATGCACTTGTTGATATTGTTATTCATTTCTTTGATACCGACCTGTCTGTACTAATACGTTTGTCCGTGATCGAAGTTTAACAGAAGGAAGCTGTTACGGTAACCAGCGAACGTTATTAGTGCAAAACTTTGAAAACTTCTTAAAATGAACAATATCATTACTTTGGTGAAGAGAGATAAACTTACGCCTTACGGTAACCATAGACTTCAACGGATCAATGCAGGTTGAGAAAATCATCAGCCACCGTAAATGCCTACCTATGTTTAGGAAATGGACTAAGACAAAATTGTATGATCGGGATTGGCCGGTATAAACCAACGGGATTACGGGATTGAGAAAACATTTATTAGGGACCCTCTTCTACTACAAACACACTTAGTCTTAGCTAGTCCGTTGAATTTGGACCTTTCTACTTTATTTCGCAAAGAAGTCGGCGGAAATCAATGGGTAAACGCCGCATTTAATCCCTTGTGTCCAGATTAAGTGCCTCATTTGCCTTCAGCTTTCCGGTGGAAGAAAGACAAGTTTTACACACGTCATAGCAGCAAGCAAACGAACAGACTCTCACAAATTCAAAACATACATTTTGAATTTACTTACGATGACTTTCGTTGCCATTCAAAACTGACTGAGCAGAGGTAAATTCTCGTGCATCAATCGTCGATGGAAGCGAATAATACTTTCCTTAAAATCACTGGCTATGTTAAAAAAAGAAAAAAAACCTTAAGGATAAGCCAATGTTTGTTCGAAGCCGGTTCCAGTCGACAGCATCACACTTTGCCCGTACCCGGTTCTGTTCATCGATCAACCTCTCTCCTCCGCTGCCCTGATCTTGCACATGCGCAGAAGCTCACATGCAGCAGGCTCAAATCGGCGGTGAAGTTCAGAAACTCTGCCATCGGTCAGTAACATGAGTGTCCTTAATGACTTGTTCGTGCAAATTGTACAGTCTGAGGAGAGGATTCGGGAACGGTTTTCCATACTGCGGAAGGGTTAGTAGCTGAGTCGATACAACTGAGAATAAATTTCACCTCTACATGTACACGAAACCTCTTAACAAAACAACCAAATAAAAGGCGCGCAGTTCCCGCTCAACTCTGCAGTGATTATAAATAATGGCGTAATCATTAAACCCATTGGGCCGATTATTGAACAAGTTTAGCCGTTGTTTAAAAAATTACGTTCTAAGCCATCTGCAGTTTAACTGCACCTTTCATCTGAACATTTGAAATATCAAGACTGATTAGCTTTTGTTCTGAATCTGAATCTGAATCTGTTCTGACAATTGGTACCTCTACTCTTTAGATCATTTATTCCCACCTTTTCCTCTTCATTCACCAGCATGTTTTGGTTTGTGTTAACCAAACTGATGCTTCAAACCTTGGTAATTCTTTTTCTTGACGTGTTATTCCTTGCCTGCAAAGCTTTGTGTTTGGGAAAGCTTTGATTTTGCTACCTCAAGATGAATAAACGCGTAGATGTGAACAAGCAGTGGAATTACTGAAGGACCCCACCAACTTGAACCTGTTGAACTTGAACCCCACTGAAAACTTGAACAAGATTTGATATCCTTTCACCCCATTTTTCAGTAATTTACTATCATCTTACTCAAACTTCACAACTCTAACCATTTTTCAGTTCTTTTGAGAGTGCTCTACTGTAGTGTGTAGGTAAAATTTTGGAGCAGCATCTCACCCAGTTTCCAGGAATTTTACACTATTTCTTGTCAATTCATGGAAAATGTTGTAAATCTTCTCTTTAAGTTTGATTTAGTTACATTTAATGTAGACAAAGCTTGGCAGCTTTCTGGGGGTATCTTTGGACTACAACTAGGGCTGATTATAGTAAAAGAACTTAAGACTATAATCAGGGCTGGTTAAAGTAAAAAAAAAATTAACCAAGTTGCAAGATACAATTTTAAGAATACTTAGTTTTTTCATCAGGATATTGCACCCATTCCTTTAATTTTACTGTTAAAAAAAACATTTACCATTTACAGATCCCATCAACTCACTTGTCAGACTCTCTTGTTATATCCTGTTAGTAAATGGTGAAATCCAGGACTTCCAGCGAAAATTTCAAGACCTTGCAGAAGAACTGAAATCATTGCAGGGCTTGGTTGTGCTTAAAAACCAGCATTTGGCGGAGAAAGAGCTAGACCTTAGATGGTTTGGTATCCGAGGAGTTGTTTCATCGGAAAAGAGACAAGAGCTATCAGCAACAGCTGAACATCTTTGCCAGAAAAAGGTTGTTTATTAAGTACAAAACCCTAAATAAAATATTTCTTTGTTATGGCAGTATCCTAATGCATCCATCAATTTGAAGCCTCAATTTCCCCTCCCCCTCTTCCAGGCAACTCACATCCATATCAAGGGCATGGGGAATTTGAACTTTGCCTGGCTGGGGTGGGGTATCTGATCCAGAAGTGTCAAGTCTTTGCAATTATATTTCCTCACACAAAGTACCTCTTTTCCAAATTTTAACTTTAGAAATTATTTTTGATAATTTACCAATGGTTTGTTCTGCCAGTGGATTTTTTTCAACTCTTCTTTTGGTTTTGCAGAGTGTGTCATTGATTGACCATTTGGTAGGTCTGCCAGCCAGTGTTCTACCTTACTCCAAGCCTCTGGGCCCACACAATAATTTCTTTCTGTGACTTACCAATAAATGCCTATGGGGCCTGTCCATTGGCAGCTGTTGAATCTGGTCCTAGTTTCATGCAGTCTCATTGTTTATCCACCAATCTTGTCCATGTTAGTTTGGCTCATGCTCTTTGCCTCCTCACCCTCATCAGATCTAGTATATGTAACTCAAAGTTATATAAACTTTGAACTCCTCCTTAGTCAGCACTAGGGTTTGTTTCTTGGTCCTTTCAGATTTCTTTTAAATGAAACTGTGATTTATTTTTCCACAGGAGGAAACAGAAAGAGCAATTGGCATTGAAAAGTGAGTACACTTTAGTTTGATTACTAAGAGGTGCAAGATTATTATTAATTATATTATTTCTACCTTAGAAATATGTAGATGGATAAAATTGAATGTCATATTCTGATTGTACAGATGGTCAAGTTAAACTAAACCCTATTTTTCTCAGTGCGAGGTAGGATATCACAAAAAGTGTATCATAGAACAAGACTAACCAGTATAAAGAGAGTGAGACATGCTGGAGAGATTCAAACAAAAATATTCTGTCAGATATGTTGTTAATGGCCTGGTATGCTGGTGAATGTTTGAGCTGTCAAGGTGTGATTATGGCATTGATGGTACTTTACTGTGCATAGTGTTACCCTGACTGAAATTCGGGACATATCTTGTCCCCCACTACAGAGCACATCTGGATTACTACCACCTTAAACTTTGAGTATCTCTGAGAAACCCTATATCACAAAAAAGGAATGAGGGGAGTAGCAATTTACTGACAATAATGCCGTTCACCCAACATGGTTACTAGTTGTCGACATTTTACCTTTTTGTTTTGTTTTTCTGTGGAATATAAGTATCATTTTGTTCAAGTTTGATGACACTAAGAGTATTTAGAGAAAATTTTGTAAGGTTTCTGCGAAAAAAAGGCCTTCTCCAGCTAGCTAGAAAGATCAAAGATGAAAACTTGGAATGAATAAAATTTTTTTTTCTGTTACTTGCCCACATAGGAAAAACTTTGCAAGAGATGTCACCCAGTTCATTTGCCTACTTGAGTCTGATGATAGAGCAAAGGGAAACCAATTTTTAGAAGCCACTATGCAGATGGAGGAATTCAACTGCAAAGAACAGAGATTCCATCAAGGTTCATGAGATTTAAAAGAGGGTTTTAAATTCTTGGATGTGTCAAGATGCGGAGGGATATTGCTTTGGAAAAGTTGTTAGCCCTCTAAAACACCTTTTAATAATATAATAATATAATCTAACAATTAAAGGCAAATATTTATTGGCGTACTATGTGGTGCACTCTGTCTTCCGTGGCACTGTAGTCATGGGTTCCCTTAAATAGAGACACCACCCTTTGAGTTATTGGGCAAAAAGAAGCCTCCACTTGTAAAACAATTTGTTGTTAAACAGATGAAAGTGTCTTCAGTCTTTAAAAAAAATTAAATTAAAATAAAAATTAAATAAAATGTACAAACACAAGCATTATCGGTGTTTGAATTTCCCGGTAGGCGCCTTGATGATATGACATCATATGGTTGCCACTATTACATGCCATTTTGTTCGCAGGAATCCCAAGGGGATCATGCAGATAATAATGGTAAGCGTGAAGCGTCATACGATCCAACATTGCATTGCGCAAAAAATTACAACTTTTTTTAATTAATATTTTTCAAATGCTCCATTCCCATTTATACCACTGCATGCCTACAGGATCATTTTTGGTACTTTAAAGACAATCTGACACCAGGTGAGGTTTTTTTTTTAGCAGAAATCAGCGTGGACAGCCATAAAATGAAAATTTTGAAAGAAGTGGCACTATGTGCATAACCGAGATGGCAGTTAAAGCAGAACTGAATAAATTTTACCGATCATTTCAAACTTTGCCAGATGATCGACAACAAAACAATTAACTGCATCCCGTGCGTGACAGTATGCGGTGCTGCCATTGTTAAGATGGTAGTGCTCACGTCAATAGTTAAGTGTTTGAATATCGCTGGAATGGAAAACGATATTGGAAAACGATACTGGAAAGCAATACTTCCATAGAAAACCCCTTCTCTAACTTTCAAAATGGCTTGGATTTTTCGGCAGGTGCAAATTATCTGTTGGTGCTGTTGGATCTTGCGTCCAGAGTTACGACTGACATTTCAGCGAGTTGACTTGTTCCAAGCCTAAGAGGGCTGCCCTCAAACGAGTGCAAAACAATGTTTTGTACAGGTGTAAAATGAAACAAACCCTTGAGGTCCAATCTGAGCGACGCAAGCCACTAAACTCAACTGCCGCATTGGTGTGGACAGCATGAATTTATGCTGCGATCTGGTTGCTACGAGCGAAAAACTAGTTTTGACAACTAAAATGCGATAACTAAAACATTAATGGTGATACTGCAAAACAGGCATTTTTTTCCGATATTTAAAGAACTTGAATATCCTGTAGTAGAAAGATATATTTGGAAACAGTACACGAGAATTTCCCTTTTAAACAAACTCCCTTCTCCATTTTTTAAAATGGCTTAGATTCAGCCCTCTTTCCAACAATTGTTTCAATTTTCACGCGAGAAAATGCAGGGTGTTTACGAAAGTCTAAAGAAGCCCAGGCGACTTTGACAGGACGATAACAACAAAGTGCATAAAAATGTGTAGAAAATTTTTTGAAAAAGGGGAAAAAGGGAAAACAAAAACAAAAAAAGAAAAAAAATAACGAAACGAAACAACCGCTACGATATCTAGGAGATGGCTTCGATTTCCACCGGCTTAAAAGAAAATCAAACTTCGATCGTCGAGATTTTAAGGGACCATCGATCAACTGACAAAACACCGAGCGCTTTATCGCTAGTCCAGACAGAAAACATAAGTGAAGAAATAATGTTCTGCGGAAGAAAAAAAAACCATAGTGCTTTCGTAGAACGGAAGCCGGTAGTAGATTTAGAGGATGAACTGGATTATCTGGGATTAAGGACGAGAAGCCTACCATGAACCTCGTGATGTTAGTTTTCATTGATCGCAAACTTTGGCCTAATCTTGCGCTACACTCATTACAATTTCCTTACCCCAAGGCGACGATTCTGAAGCAAGAAGGCATCAATTTTGAATGTTCCGTTCGTACTCTCCAAGGAGTGGCAAAGTGGCACCAAAAAACAATGGCTGTTAACATTAGTGAAAAGTCTTCTGTTTTCACCTCTGCAAAGTCAAAATATAGGATTATGCAGGAAGAAAAGGGTGACTCCATTTTTCTCTGATTTTAGCCGCCGTCGAGACACCACTGCCAGTATGACGTCACATTAGCAACATTAGAAGGTCTTCGGTTTGCTCAGTCTAGGTTGGGGACAGCACTAGTAGCTAACAACTGAACAGAGACATAACATAGACAGGGACAGTAAGATAGACTGTCGCAGAGACAATGTGACAGTGACAATGAATTGAACTGCCCCTAATTTGGCTCTAAACTTGTGACCTCCAGAACTTTGTTTCGTGCAGACGACCAAATAATAAGAAAACGAACAGCTTGCATTTTTAGACTCGAGCTTTCCTACCGAAGCTCCAGTATTCACATACAAGTCCTTAAATGATCTCGCTGAAAATATTTTGAAGCTGGTTGAGCCGGTCCCTATAGAGTATTGAGATCCATTTTATAATACCAGGACCAAAATTAAAGCATTTAAGTACATCTTGAATGAAGGACCATTCTAATGTATCAAATGCTTTTTCAAAGTCAATGAACATCAGAATTTCTGGTATTTTTTGGTCGTCTGTATATTAGATCCTTACAATCTGACATTTTGTCCAATGAATCTTCCCTTAGTGAACCCTGTTTGATCAGGATGAATTAATTTCGGCAGGACTGGTTCAATTCTCTTTGCAGTTATCTTTGCAAGAATCTTGTAGTCTACATTGAGCAGAGTGACTGCACGCCAGTTAGATAATGTAGTCAAATTGTTGTCATCTTTTGGGATTAATGAAATAACTCCTCGTCTTTGTGATACAGACAATGATCCACTTTCAAATCCTGCATTTAATGAGTCTAAGAGTGCAGCACCTTTAAGATCGAAGAAGGCTTCATAGAATTCTTTTGTGAAGCCATTGTCGCCGGGAGTTTTGTTGTTTTGGAAACTGTTCAGAGCATTGTGAACCTCTTCAATATTTATTTCAGCTTCTAATTCAAGACTTCCATGTTCTACAAAGTGGTTGAGGTTCAAATTCCCTACAAAGCTTTGAAATTTTCTTGATACATCCCATAATCCAGGACCGCGATTAAATTCCTCATTCAGATTAATGCTCAAAAAGACTGCTTTATGATCGGACGCGATTGATGCTCGCGTTTCCACTTTTGTGACATCATGCTGAATTTTGCCACTTATTAAGAAAAAGTCTATGCGTGAATTTAGTTTCAATGTTTTTTATTCATATTTGTAGGTTTTATTTTTTGAATTAATTTTACGGTACATATCAACTTGATTAGCCGCTTTCATGAAATAAACTAACGAATTCCTGTACTTAGTTTCTTTCCAGGCTAACCCTCCTTACTTATCTATTAAACTTAACGTTGTATTCCAGTCACCTACAATTATTAAGTAAGACGAATCAGTCAAAGATATTATTTTTTTAGTAAAAGATTCGATGAAGTCAATTTGTTCACGGTAATCGGTGGGAGCATAAATGTTAACAACGATGAAGCTGGTCTCACCTGGCGTCTTGAGACGTATATCAAGCTCTGCTCTCTGAACGTGAATTGGAGAATTCGCTTTTATGAGCACGCAAACGCCTTTTGAATGATCTGTACCGTGAGAATAGAAAATTTGGCCCGCCAACCAGATCCTCTCATCCTTAGGATTAGAGAGAGTTTCTTGAAGGAGGTAAATATTTGCTTTTTGTTTTTTCAAATATGAGAAGATCGATCTTCTTTTTTCTTGATTCCTTAAACCTCTAACATTAAGCGTTAGGAATTTCACAGTAGACATTGAAAAAGCAAAAAAAAAGGAAAAAACAAAACAAAACTAACTAACAAGCAATACAATTACTTACCTCTCCTGGGAAATTACCGATCAACCGGCCGAAAGCTTACACTCCAAGGTGCTAACTCGAGAGGTCAGATCACAATGTACTTAAGTTATTCGTGCATTTTAACTCAAAATTTGCCTCTCGAGCGCGCCGACTAAAAACATATGTCCATCTTCGACGCCAGCTCGATCCAGTCTTGCTTCTAGGTATTGATGTAAATTTTGTTTTCACTTGACCACTTCTCGATATTTTCCAAGTCATTAGAAAGAGCTTGAGTTATAGAAGTGATATTTTTCCAGTTTGCACTTAAGGACAGGGTTGTATCGTCAGCATGTATATCAGTGGTGGAGTTGGTCAGATGTAAAGGCATATCATTCACAAAAATGAGAAATGAAACTGGACCGAGGATTTGATCCCTGCGGTACCCCTTACCTGTTAGGTTTCGGCTCCGATGTTATATGCCCTAGTTTCACAAACTATCGTCGCTCTTCCAGATACGATCGAAACCATGAAGGCCACGCTATCTGGGCTAGATTGTGATTATGTCGAACGCTCTACGGAAATCAACAAATACTAGTCCCGTGACTTCATCATTATCCATTTTAAACAAAATTTCGTCCGTGATTCTGATAAGAGCCGTTTCAGTGGAATGACCATAACGGAAGGTTGATAATAATTCATTTAGCAAATTGTTCTCTTGAAGACCAATAATAATAGCGAGCTTGCTACATTTTTTTCGATGATTTTAGATAGGATTGGCAGCGCTGATATGGTGCGATAGTTATTTCTTTCACGTTTCTTACCAGCTTAGTGCAGTGGTGTAACTTGGCCGACTTTCCATCCACCAGGGAAGGAATTTGTTGTAATTGATAAGTTCAGTAGCCTGCAAAGTGGGTGGTTAAATGATGATGCGATAAGTTTGAGGATTTTGGCACTCAAACCATCACGTCCAGTTGCCTTGTTGACCGGGATCTTACTAATGATATCAGCAGCCTGCTACGGTTTCATTTCAGGTATGACAAAACTTATAGTGGGCTAAGCCTGGATGACATAAATTTCACCAAAGACAGAGTCACTAGGGTGATCTTCCTTTCCTTGTTGTTCCAGAATCATAGTGAAAAAGTCGTTTATTTCATTGGCTACGGATGACTCATCATAAACTGTTCCATTTTGCGTCTCTAATTCCACGATTTGAGTCGTTCGTTCGCCTGAGTCACTTAGGTTTTAAGGGCATTCCAAATGCCTTTGGGATTTCCTTTATTTTCGTTGATTTGCTCGCAAAAAAGGATCGTTTTGATCTTTTGATAATATTGGCAGCTCTGCATTTAGTGTTAGAGTAATGATTCCAATCTTCCTGCTTGTGCTATGGTGGTGATGTCATAATTTTCATTATTAAGGACCCTGACAATGATAGTGAGTGACAGTGCCAGTTACAGAGATGGTGACGGACAGTGACAGACAGTAACAGTTTCAGAGACAGCGACAGTGACAAACACTGAAAACGACTGTGACTGTGACAGAAACATTGAAGTAAATTGACAAAGATAGAGAAAATGAAGGACAGTGAGAGTGAGAGTGACAAAGACCTTGTCAGTGACATTTAAAGTAAGATTGACTGTGACAATGACAGTGACAAGGAAAGTATTGACAGTGATATTGACAGTGACAAGAAACAGTTTCAGTAGACCCTTTTTCGCTTCATGATGGGCCGAGGAGAATATGCAACAAATGAAGATATCCTGTAAGATACGTAAGTTTTAAGAAAATCTTTTAGTTACATTTCGAGTTAAAACGTTTTGTCCATGAAATTTTCAGGTTCCATCACAGTTGTATCATAGTTTTCTTGATGCACAATCCCGCTCGTTTTTCTCTTCCTGGCCCAATTTCTAAGGACTGCTTCTCTCCTTTAGTTTTTCTTAGAAATAAATATTTAAGACACAAATCGCTGAACATGCACAGTCGATATGTATATTCGTCGGGGTTACCAGATAATCGTTTGGTACCAAAAACTAGAATGCAAAAAAGTGACCTAGCTAGAAATATCTTTCAACTCAATTCACCACATGCGGGGCAAAAGTACAGAATGCTGATTGGCTGAGACAGAGGGCATTTAATTGCCCTCAGGCCCATGCGATTACATATACGAAGTGCTAAAATTGACCGTTCAGATGTAAAAACAACGAATTTTTTACATTTACCAGACCCGTGCGATAGATTCACCATGCTGGAATCGTTGTTTTCATGACTCCATGGTCATAAAATCGCTTAGCGTCATATTGAAAATCCTAAAATAATTTAAAGACAAATCTATGATTGAACAACATTTTTAGCACATATCAACTCTTGAAATTATATCTAACGGTCCAAATAATTGCCCAATTGTCGTAAAGCCTCACTTGCCGGTATCTTTTGTCTTCATATTCCAGCGATAGTCCTTGTCGCATTTGAGAATCTCATTTCTCGTTACTCCGTCGCTTTTTCTTTGTGTTTTAAATTTCCATTATTTTCGGGCTGAGTATTTTTATTATTCTTTCTTTTCTATACAGTTTTCATTTGCGCTCCTAGAGGTCTACCCTGACCGGGATGAAACGGAATTATGGTGTAACAACTTATCACGGACTTCTGCACTACGACACACGAATTAGAAATAAAAGGTTTTCGGTAAAATATTTTACCCTTGTACCGATGTCTACGGTCATTTCTACCTTCCCACACAGATCAATGATTTCCTCAGCCCATCAGGGAAAGAAAAAAGATTTGCAAACATACAACTTTAAAAGAATTTGCGAAGCTTTCATTGTATACCCTGTACCTCACACGACAAGAATGATCGAGGCCGCGCAAAATAGCCTGCCTCTTGAGGGACCTGGTACAAGGTTAGCCAATCCCAGCGTTCATTCCGACCTCAGCATTAGCGAAGGCAAGTGGCGTTTTTACATTATCATGGACGAGCCTGCTACACATGAGCATGTGATTTGCAAAACTAGATTGAACCGGGCAATAGTAGACTACTAAACAAGGAAGAGGAACTAGTCAAAAATTTTATTGTTGAGGCTGCAGTGAAATGACTACATAAAACAGAAAGTATCCATGATAATGACAAACATGATTCTACTTCACATTCTTACATTTTTCTACTAGTTTAAGACTGACTAGCTATGAAGCTTCTGAAAGAGCAGAAAAACACGAGAGAGTATTTCCTTTCATTTTATCAAGTTTGGTTCTGCATTCAGAGCTAATCTTTACAAATCATCTTATCGAATGCCAATCTACGTCACTAGCATTACTTTTTATCCGCATCATACATCCATGGTTAAAATAATCATTGTTGTAGACGTTCTTAAATCCAAGTTCACATTCCATAACTCACAAATGTATCTACTGGAATGGGACCAAAATAGTCATCAAATTGGACCTAATCCTCACTCATGGACTGGGTTCTAGATCCTGTAGATGATGTTGAGCTGGTTCGAGACATTGAACGTGTTCGCAGTGTTGGGACTGTAGAGGAGAAAAAAAAAAGAAAAAGAAACATGCTTGTAAGTTTTGCACATGCTACAATCGCGTCACCTTGCCTTGACCATAACTTGTATTTTAATATCAAGCGAGATAAGTGCAGGGCATTAGACAGTGATAATGCCCACGAGTTTTAGAAGAACAGCGAAGGTACCGTTTTAAATTAGCTACGACATTATACTGGAAGGGACGAGGTAAACATTCGACCTCCCATCTAATTTAAGAAACCATGCAAATTTATCATTGAAAAGTTATGATTGACATGATAACCTTTCCACAAATTATTCATACATAAATTTTTTAAAGGGGCCGTTTTTGCCGTGTCGTGTAAAGTTTATAGTTACGGCTTAAATCGCGGTGTGGAAAGCACCATCGTTAGATCTGTTATGCATCCTTAGAAGAACGCCAAAAAGCTTATTAAGAAGTCTAAACAGTTACCGAAAGTTTAAATGTTGTCACATTTAGCCTAGTAGATCTCAAAAATACATTCACTCGCTAATAGATGAGCTTAATTCAACTTCCAGGAACATCAGATGTTAAAAATGGAGTGGTTTCTGTTGGCAGCAGTCTTCTGATACCTCATGAAGTTTTAGATCTTCAAAAGGCTTGTAAGGCTCAGTTCATCCATAAGTCTCCTAGAAGGCGGTGATATGTTGTGAAAAGCGATGGCGAGGATTCTGAACAGTGTATTCTGAAAAGTGCATTCTGAAGCATTTACATTTTCTTTCACCGAGGGCTGGACGTGTTTGAACTATTATCAGGCACTTTTCTGTCTCTTCTGTACGCACTCCAGTTGGTGTTTGCCTTGAAATCGGACAAAGTTTCCCTCATTAAGACGTGACGCCACTATACTGAAATACTTTTTTTAAGGCTCTGAGAATCATTTTTCCCGCAAATAAATGTTTCTTTATACGTGATACAGAGTTGCAGTTCCATGATTGCGTAGTTTAATCGTGGGTTTGAGTCGACGAATGAATAGGTAAACGCGCGCATCACCGGATGAAAATTGACGACTTCCGTTGAATACATTTTTTGTTTCTTCAGTTCGTAGGTCATAAAATAAATAACTTAACAACTGCGACTCTTCGGTTGTTACAGGAAAATCTCGAACCTCAGCCTCGCTGTAATGATCGAGCAATAGCGTAGTCAATACGGCAAGGCCCCAGTTTGAGATATTCCCGTAAAGACCTCACTCTCGGTTATCGAGTAGTTATTAAAAACCAGTCACAACAAAAAAGGGCAGACCTTAGGAGAGGTGCAGATTATCTGGGTAAAATGTGTAGAAGTGCACACACACAGATACACCAAATACTAACTGAGTTTATAGCTAAGCAGTTCTATTTTTTGTAGGATGCAGTAACCACTGTAAGGTGAGAGTGTTAAGGAGGAAAGATTCTCATATATTTGAAGTGCCCTGAGTGCTGGTGAAAAATCCACAAACGTGGCTGACTCAGACCAACTCTCCCATCAATGCTCATTGCTCAGTTAGGTGAACTCTGTGCTCCCTGGCCTGCTGAGTCATTATTAGCTGCTTTACGAGGAATGTTAGTCTACGTAATGCCTGTGAGATACGACAATCGCAATTTACTAAGTACAAGTAAAAGAAAAATAGCAAACGCCTAGTTCGGGTAAGAAGAACGCCAGACTGCCAAAAACAATTCAATTGAAAGGTTTAGAACACACAGCTTGCAATCTTAGCTTTAGCACAGTCCAATAACAAATCATCAAAAGAAGGGAAAGTACTTTGCACAATTGATAAAGACATTAAAGACTCTTTACGTCATAATTTCTTCACTGCAGGTTAAAACTAAAATCTTACCCAGTCCAAGTCCTTGGATAAACAGCAGCAGTCCCTCTGCCATCTTCTCAGGCTGCATATAGAGAGAAATGGACCGTTAATAAATCCATTTATTTCAACCACTGGTTAAGCTGTGATTCTCTGTATAATGGCATTTTCTTCCAAGCATGAGGCTCACGAAGAACCGTCAGCAAGTATCACGCAGTTATGCAAACACATTTTTCTCATTTTCCGCTCATACCCAAAAATTATGATCGAAGTTGAAGACTCATAATATTGTATATTCTTTGTACAAGAAAATTAGAAATTCCGGAGAAGCTCATTTCTGGCTTCAATTGGATCATTTGGGCTCACCTAACCACAATAAAGAATTTTATCAATTTCTGACTGCAGTTAGGTCTCTAGCAGACACAAACCACATTGGAATCTGAACAAGATGTGGCTAAATATAGAAAAATATATATGAAAAATGTACCTTCTTAGAGTAAGAGAAATGTTAAACACGTGTACCCAGCATTACTAAAGCACAATGCAAAAACTACGCAGTGTGTACACACACGCAATCTGAGTGGACACAATGTGCATGACCACACAGTGTGTATATTAGCCCGCATAAATAGGGGTTCATGACTGAAAAATCCATCTAAGAAAAAAATTTGATCAACCAAGTCATGGGTGTAAATAAATATGGCTGTTGCTTATTTAGAGTGCTATACATTTAATTTTATCGTTCAAAGAATAATAATCAGAGAGTTTGACTCTGGCTAAGTAAATGATTGTTGAGTGTTTAAAGACCTTTTCTTCCAAGACACTAGCTCCACAGTCAGGGGTGAGAAGACTCTTGATTTTCACATCTGTCTGCTTCAGTACGTCACCATAGTAAAACTTATCTTCCTGCAAAGCATAACGCAAAGAGCTAAAATTGGTTATTTTGTGTCCTGATCCCATGAAGCACAGCAGTCAGTGGGGACAGTTTATTAACACATGTTCCTTAATGATACCTAGAGTAACATTCATATCTACTTTGCTCATGTTACCACTATCAATTTGTCACACTATTTCTCTGAATCTCAGACAGTCAATTCATTCACTCATCCGAAAACAAATATTTTGTCCTTATATAATAGCATCAATTTCATTTTACATCATTTTTTACTACTTTGTGTAAAGCAAGGGGTGCCATCTCATCATTTGTAACAAACCCCAGCAGTACCTCATCCATTGCCCGTCAAGGTAAATCTTTTATTCGGTACTCTATTCTATATTGTTTGCGTTTGTATATTTCTAGGCCATATCAGGCAGCTGTACAGGTACTTAAATGGGTAATTCATGGTTTTGTGGCGTAGTAGTGAGATCCTGCTCATTGCCTTTAATTGCACTCTGTGCTCTTCACCTTGCCAAGCCATAATTATGTATACTCATCACATTCTAGTTCAAGATAGAGCTATTCGTGACCACTTTCCTGTTTACTGTTGAACAGACTGGCTATTGAGTAGGACAGATGCCATGTTTGTAAATCAAATACTGGTAAGACCTCCCATAAGTTAAAGTCACCTTAACAAAATATGGTTAAGCATGGAGATGAAATTCAGGAGATTAAGGTTCACCCAAAGAGAACAAACAATTTACATAAATTCATTGTAGTTAATGATGTAAGCAGGCTGCATAAGGGTTGTGAGAATGGTTTACTAAGGCAGCAAACTTAGAATGGTTTAACTTTTAAGTACAGGGCGAGCCCAGTTGAGTGAGGCTAGCCGTGAAAGTGGTTACCGTATTCTTGCGGTGAGGAGAATGTTCACCAGTCACCACAAGGACTCCTGTCTTTGCGCTAAAACAAAGGTGTAATGAAAATGGATATAACTGTTAGAGAAAATGATAAAAAATTTGACCAATGCCAAAAAAAAAATAATTCAAACTACCAAAATGGTTGCCACATAAATTGGTTGGCTAAATAAAGAGAAAAAGGGATGAAGATTTTAGATATATGAAAATTCATATATTTGCACTGCGGTGGAGAGATGAAATTAAGAGATCCTCGCAGCTAAGAACACTACTGAAACGAGTAGTTGTAAATAGGACCTGAAAAAAATTCAGGCCCGTACGGGATTTGAACCCAATTGTTTATTTGGACCCAATTCATTGACCAGCTCCCAGTTGGCTTGTTAGCTCAATTGGTAGAGTGCTGCACCGCGGTATCGCAGAGGTCATGGGTTCAAATCCCGTACGGGCCTGAATTTTTTTCAGGTCCTATTTACAACTACTCGTTTCAGTAGTGTTCTTAGCTGTGAGGATCTCTTAATTTCATCAGAAAAAGGGATACTGTGCAATGTGCTCTATAATTGGTTTTGAAAATGAGATCCCTTTGTAACAGTCCAGAGTATAGCAGACAACACAGTTTGGAGGTGCATGCTTCATCTCAATCCCCCAATGTAAAATTAATAGCTTGGAATGTTGTTAAAAGTAACTTTTTCATAGGCTCCCGTAGAAACTTCTAAAGCAAAAGTTCAAATTGAGCCATTTTTAAAGTAAATTTAACTTACTCAAGTTTGTGGCCCTTCATGTCCTTCATTAGATCACCACGACTGAAAGCAACAAATGCACTGAGTTAGGGGAATTTTGAAAAATCACAAAACAGAATTTACTAGAAGCATCCAATACAAACCCTGCAATGACTTTGTTTCTATACTACACAAAAAAGATGTATCACTGTTCCGTAACCCTACTTATTGGTCATCTGCATGCTAAGTTATAAAAGAAATGGTTTGGGCTTTAGCTGTGTATATTGAGTTACAAATACACTTAGGAAGTTTGTTATTTGACAAATCATAAATAAAGATGTCATGTAAACCACTGCCTTTCTAGGAGGGGCTCACTAAATCATGGACTACCACAAGGTTCAAGAATTGCCCCCCTTCCCTCCCTGATCTAAATTATCGATGTACCAAATTGCTTGACTGCAGGCTCCCTGCGAATCTGCTGATTACCCTACTACGAAACTGATCTTGACACCCAAACTGATAGTGAATTAAAATGTATTGAGCACTGGCCCAGAGCTAGCAAGTCAAGTATCAATGTTGCCAAAATAGACTTAATAATCAATAGCTTGAGGGAAAATGGCAGTCTTTAAATGACTACACTGTAACAATAATATAGACAGTTTTCATATGAATCAAACCAATCAGAATAAAATTAATCTTCTGAGCTTAACATTGATGAGAATCTCTTGTGACAGGCCCTTGTGTGTCCAGGATCCATGCTCTTAATGTACAAGCTCATTAGTAATCTCATTTGCCTGTCTCTGTAATATGCTTGTGCTCAGAAACTCAAATTTTGATCGCCAAGAACTGACTACCTGAAGTGTAGTTTTAGTAAAAGTGGTGATTTTCTGTAGAATGATCTTTTGGAGAGAAACTGCATACAGTACACACCTTAGGTCTCTTCAAGGTGGCACAGGAGCCTAAATTCAGTAAATGTTGTATTAAATTGTTAATTAAATATATTTACTAACACACTTGTTGGAAACACTTGAAATTTCACATGTGATTTAATGATTCTACACATTATCTAAGAAGACTTGCAATTTGCTCAGTGCCATGGAACTTTTGGAATCTTGTAGAATTAAGGGGTGTGTTCAAAAGGAAATTTTGTAGAGAAACTTCTCTAAATCCAAACCAATTTAGTAATACTCAAATGGTTTGGCACATGCACAAAGGTGAAGCTAATGAAGATTTTCAGCACAGTCCTCCAGGTTATATTCAATTTTGACAATTTCATCCTCAAAAAACTGAAAAAAAAATTAAGGATGTGGTCCCATACCTTCTCAATCAGACAATTTTGGGCAGACCAAGGGCGAGAGCACTATAAATTTTCCTTGTTGTCTATAGTTTTAGTTTGCTTAGTTTCATATAAAAAGCATAAATCTTCCCAAGATAATGCTGTTGCTGTGAAGTTGGGCATGATACCATGAATTATTAATGCCAAGGTCTGAGTTCTCTGCTGAAGCCTGAGGTTGATAACATAGACATGATATCATGCAAAGAGTGAATTCAATAATTGTTTAATTAAACATTTTATAAACAATCTCAATCAAAGTGCTCTGTGAGCAAACTCGTGAATTGACACATGATTTTTTGGATTATGTTTACTGTTATCAGGTTTAGGGAATTTTGTGGTTGATTGTCATATCTAGAGTACGAGCAGTACTTCAGTGTTCGCTAATGTAGCAAAGAAACAAAGTAACGTCGGGATAAGAAGGTATTACAATTGAAATGATCATGCTATTGCATTGGACAAGGGTGGATGATGTCATGTGTTTTAAACGTATATCATTTCTGTTTCTGGTTCAAAATAAAAGGTTGGAAGTAAATGTGCGTGAAAAGTGAAATTTACTGTCTTTCATTAGAAATATTAGAAAATCAAGGCAATACTTTCTTAATGAAAACATTAACGATTCCCTCTTTATCAAATGAGACAAACGGGAAGGGGTTTTGAGTGATATGACTAACACAAGACTGCCACCGTCATTTTGGATCTCCGCCTGGGTAGATTTTAGTCACGTGCTAGGCAACGTATAATCAATAACAAGATAGAATTTCATTTCAGGCCTATTTATCAATTTTGTGGTGTATAACTTTCGCATTTTAGTACGTAACATGTATTTTGAATCTTCAAATTGTCTTGAAACTTAAAAGAAAATTGTTCTTTAAAATTCACTGAAAATCGGTAGCTAAAATTGTTTGTTTAGGTGTTATTTGATTTTCGTGTTAACTTGTAATTTCGTTAGTCGCCGGCATCTTCTGTTGTTTCTCACAGGAAAACACCCGATACGAAACGTAATGATTGATTTTGTCCTCAATCTCAGGCCGTGAACATCTGTTAACTCCGAGCGCTTCGCAGTAAGTGATATTTTCATTGCATCTTCGGATTGTTTTCAAGTTCAAGGATTGTATATTAAAATTTTATGAAAAACGAAGGTTGTTCTGTTATTTCAGTGTGAATCCTTGCGCCGCTTGTTGAAACTAAAACGAAAAAAAAAATTATTTTAAGATTATCATTGGCTTCTTTGTCACCCCACCACTATTCTTAGCAACAAAGGTTGCCATTTTGTTTGTTTATTGCTCGCCAAAAACTATCAAATGCAATCAAAAGCCTAAAATCGAAAAAAAGTTTACAGGAATCGACCAATCGAGTGAACGAGCGAGTGAACGAATGCCATTCCCCACATCGTATCTACAACTCGCTCTTGCGCATGCGTGCAATTCACGAGTTAAAAAGGAGACACTTCCACAACTTATGAATTGTTCCCTTCATCATTCAGTGTAATTTTCCCTATGTCAAATGCTGACCACAGTTCTGTTGAGTTTTTTTTTAATGAAATATTTTTCAATCTTCACTTTGTGCTTCGTTTGTTGAGTTGTTGACTTCTCACAAGTCACACAACAGGGCCCCTGGCTGCTAAAAATATAATTGAATTCTGTAGGTATGTTTCCATTTGGTTTCAGCGTATTATGCATTTGGTTAGTATTATTCCTCAGCCTTAAGACTTGTTTAATAGCTAATACTATGCTAAATAGAAATGTGGCCAGGATTCATAATGTAAAGTGCTGGTAAAATATTACATACAGCAACTGATCTGCTATACATTTCAGAAAATGGAAATTAAGGGGGAAATCAATAATTTCCCAAAGGAAGTGAAGAATGACCATAATGAAAACCTTTCTTACCTATTGTAGGCCTTAATGAATGCTGCCACATTATGTGGATTCATGTGCTCTTTAACATCCTTCATAAATTGATCTTCCAACTCCACTTTTGGCTTCCCAGAGTCCTATCATTATAGAAGTAAAAATTTAAAGCTGTAAACCTGAAAGCAAAATCATTTAACCCTCATGATGATTTACTTTGCAGTAATTCAGTAAAAGAACAAGATAATATCTCTTCTCTTCCTATCTCTTCTTTACATCTACCTGTTACACAAAAAGGTTATGACTACCGCCTACAACCAACTGAAGAAGAAATTTGTGGAATTTCATCTAAACACAGGACAACTGCTCAACTCCATGATTTTCATTTCAGTCAACTTCCTTATCATCTTTCTTGCTAAACAACAGAGAATCGGGAATAGGGGAACCAAACTGTTACCTTGAGAAAATTTCTTGCTAGCAAATTATCATACATAATCTACAGACAAAGTGGCTAAAAAGTTTTTCATGTGTTTGGCTTCTTTCTTTGTGTGAAACCAGATTAAAGTCTTTATCACAACAGAGGTAAAAAGTGCCATAGCGGATGTTATTTTAAAAAAATCAGTATGAAAGTCTAAACAGATTAGATAAAAGAAATAAATAAAGATCTGTTGGTTATAGATTCTAGAAAAATACAGTAAAAATGCACCATTTTCAAAATTCAACAACTAAAGGTGCTGTTTTAATATGTCTGGCCAAGACTTAAAAGAGAGAACTATAGGTAAAAAAAAGCCCCTTGAAGTTTACAAATTTGCTTTTTAAACAATCCATGAAGCATTCAAGACCAAGAAAACTATTTAGGTAAGAAAGGCATTGCAATAATTATTGTAGCTAAAGAGTGTTGTGTAACATTGGAACCAAGGTCTTGTGTTGATATGGCTGCATTGTAAAGTTAATAGCAAGGTTACTGGTTACAAAACAAGGCCTGTTGTATTTTTGCACATCCCACCATACAACTAGAAAAATTATGAAATCCCTTCTATTTGGGGTAAATTATCAATGAACTTTGTGTCTTTTTCAAGTATTATGAAGTGGATTTCCAATTTCAATTCAAGTGAATCTTGTTTTGGGAACTGTGATTTCAAGAGACAGTCAAATTACAGATGAATGGAGTTGTTAGACTCTGAAGCTGTTGATAAAACATAATCAATCACATACCCTCTCAAAATGGTGCCACATGAGGTATTTGATAGTATCTTCTGTAAATCCTTTCTTGTCTAGTTGATGTGCTCTAAACTTAAAAGTAATGAAATATACCTTCTGTAATTATGCTAGATGAGATTCAGGGAATCTGTAACAGCTTTAAGTGGTGAATAGTTACTCATCAAAGTGGAGGTGAATTGTGGTGGATGTCTTATTTACCATTTTGCTGCTCGGTAAATACCCACCTTCTTCACCAACACTGAGATAAACAATTGTTTTAGTAATTACCACACAGATGCCATAAGCCCCCAGGCCCAAGACCATAATGCTAAATAAGTTTCCTTCTTCAATAAGCATTGACCCCCCCTCCTCCCCCACTTTCTCAAATAGTAGGGGTACAAGAAAAACCTGTTTCTGTTGCCACTTTATTTATATCTTTTTAAGCTGCAACAACAGCAGATTAACTACAGGTTAATAGTTTCTTGATAAGCACGATTTAATACCCAACCAGGGTGCTCATTCATATTTATAATAAAGTTTGGATATAACATGTGCTGTCATTGGTTAAAAGAGCATGCTCTGTGAGAGTATAGAGCATAGAACTGAGCTAAAGCTGTCATGCCATCTGCCAAATTGTACTATGTCCAACTTTTCTGGGACTTCTTTCTAGCTTTTCTTTTGTTAATCAAAAGCGAAATTTTGGAATATGTGAGAGAGGGTTTACAAAAATGCCAGGTGCAGTAATTTGTGTTATTGTAATGTGAGCAGAGAAAAAAAATCCTTTGAGAAAAAACAAAATGGACAGTCCAAGTTTTAAGGGTTTTCATGTTCAGTTAGATTGTAAGTTTATATACAGTAATAAAAATCAAATACAGCTAACACTTGTATGGTATATAAAGTTTCGTGCTAAAAAACAATATATATTTATAAAAAATATAACCTGGCATAACTGTTAAAATTCATACTAATCATGATGGTGTGTCAGAGCAACTACAATCATGCTGAAGTCTATCATGGCTAGCTCATGATGGTAATCTTTGGTCATTGTGGTGGAGCAAGCCTTGGGAACTAAATCGACTACCCTTCGAGTGGAAAAATAAGAGCTTGCTCTGATAACCTTTCTGATGTGTTGAGTGGAAGGCCACATCAGTCAGTCACTGCAGCCGAGTTTTACAGCACTGTCATTCCGAGCGATCTTCACATCCTGGTGAATTCGGCTGTCATTCATCCATAAAAACACTCGCCTTGAACAGTTTGTTTTCTACTTGTCATGTGAAATAACTTGTGTATTTTTGTGAGCCACGATTGGGCTGAGTTTCACTGAACATTTCACTTTCAGATTCTGTATTAGAAACTAAAAAACTTCAGGAAAGTGTTAAATTCGACATGCTGAACTATTTTAATTTGTAAACTATTAGAGAATATGAACTTTGATGGTTTTTGAACTTTGATGGTTTTTGAACTTTGATGGTTTTTGAACTTTGATGGTTTTTGAACTTTGATGGTTTAACATTTTTGATGGCTTTAGTCTTGTACAGCCAATCAGATTTGAACCATTCTAACAGGGATTCTGATTGGCTTACTGTAGTGTACTTTATGAGAGTATAGAGCATGCAGATGACACTGTTGTTCCCCCTACACTTCTTTCATGCTCTTAGCTGCTCTCTGCGTACTTTACAACAGAACAGAGCACAGTCAGGGCTTCTCTATTTTTAAAATCAACTTCAGACATTGCAAATGAATCAATGCCTTATCAAAGATGTCAGTAGACAGACTGGCTTCTATTCTTACAATCTACTTGGTGAATGGGCTGAAGGTCAAGTAGTTTGCTTGACCCAAACTTACCTTTCCTGCACCCCATTCTTTGAAGCTTGCAGCAGAAATGCCTGGTTCAACCACAACTAGTCCTGCAACTTTCTCTCCCCATTTTGATACCTGTTTGAATAAAAACAAATTATAATATCAGTGATTAGCTGATTCCTCAAAGCTATATTAGGATTTTCAGGTAAGATATCAACCATACAAACACTACTATTGTGGTATTTATTGCCGTGTCCATGAGAAGATCATGTCACAGTTGGATCTGTGCAGTGCAGTGCAGTGCAGTGCAGTGTATTTTGATACATTCTCACACTCACACCAAAAAAACTGTTTGCTAAACAGACCTTTACATTTTCGATTAAAAGTATTAATATACCCAAATTTGTGGCCTGTTTTCTAAATGTTCTAATGGATAAGCAGAACCCGACTTGTTACAAAAAGGTTGGTGTGGCTTATACATGTGTGTTTACTGTGGTTTGATTCAATCACATTATATTTGGAATGCTTGCTGCTACAAGATCTAGAAATTTTCAGGTTCTTGTTCATATTCATTAGAGGCCATTTTATTACAAATTTATTGACAACTGAACATGATTAAAATTCAAAATTGATTTCAATCTAACTCATTGGAGCTCCAGGCTGGAAAACCTTAATATTATTTTCATCTCAAATTGGATGTTTTCATGGGAAAAACACTCTCTTGCATAGTCTTTCTCTTTTCAGGAGTAAAAATGGGTACCAACAGACTGTCAGGGAAGCATGACAAATACTGAGGGGTACCTTATCATGGAATAGCATCCCATCAGGGGGGGAGTTGCAATACACTCTACTTCATGCTACAGACTGGATGGCCACTTAGCTTGAGAAGAGACACTTTTTTAAAAACATGTACCATAGGTTTCAGAATATAAATTACATGTAATGAACTCTTACAGTTGCTTATTTTCAGCTTCTTATCAACAAATTTACAATTCTTTGTATAAAGCTTTGGTCTCAGAATATTTCTTGGTCATCTTTGCCTTGTCATTTAGTCACAGTTTTCAGGTGGGGCATGATTGTGTGGTAAGGTATATATCCATAACTCCATACATGCAGCTAAATATGAACAAATTCTGTAATATTGTACTCTCAGGTATCATGATCAGCCCATATGGTTCTTTATCTGTGATCGTCTCAGTACATGATTTGGATACAAAACGAGTAAGACCACATCCCAACTTTTCCAGCTGTTTTTTCTTTTAATTGGGTGAAATTTTAAATTCAGCAAAAGATTAGTGAAAGCATTTGGTGTAATAGGTGAATGAGAAACTGCAAAAAAGTAATCCAGGGTACAGTATATGCTTTAATCCATTGCAACATCATGGATCTTACCAAGAACAAATTCCCACTGCTACCATCCAGACAAAGTTGTTGTAATCTTATTTTGCAATACACATAAATTACTTAAAATACGATATGGACATTACTTATAAGAATACAAAAGTAAAAAGTCTTAAAACTTAAGTGTACATAGCCCTACAACCTACTGACAATAGATGAGGTTATAAAGAAAGACAAAAATTCTAACCTGGGGATCCATCTCATTCAACAAATCCAGATGAATATATCTTGCAATCAAAAAAAAGAGATGGATTTTTTTGGTTTATGAAACCCCTTGGTCACAAACCAATTAAGATGGATAAGATAAGGTCTGTATCCTGTATTGTTGCAGAGTTTTTGTCAGTTATCAACCAGGTGATTTAAGTTCTCTAATTCAGCTTCACAAAAGGTGCACATGCCCTTATCTTTGATACCAATTTTCCTTAGAAAATCATTTGTTGCTAGTCGCTTATGTAATAGTTTAAACTGAGAAGCAATTAATTTAGTTTTTTTGGTTTCATTGTCTTTTCAAACTTGCAGTCATCTGAACATTTTTCCTGATTTTAGGTAGGATGCTTTTGTTTAATATGAACTAGCCTCTCATAAAATACTCTGTTGGCCACTTCAGTTTTAAGAGCTATTTGTGAAAATATTCACTGTTTTTTTTCCACCTTAGAAGATAATCGCTATTTTACAATTTAAATAAGGACTTCAATAAAGATTTAAGGCCTTGAAAAATAAGAAAATTCAATTTGAGCATTCTTCAAACTTGTGATAAGAGACAAATGCGATTGAATCTTTTGTTTGGTGAGCAACATTTTTAATGCCCTTAGAGAACCATGATTTTTTAAAAACTGGTCTACTGCCAATTTCTATAAGAGAGTTACCAAAGGATAGATAAAAAGGTATTAATCTATAGAAACCATGTAAGGATTAAGGCTACATTCACACGGTGCTGAACAAATTTACGACTGGCCGAAAATTTTGACCGGACATTCTGTTCACATGGAACCGTGTGAAAGTTTCCTTCTGTTCAGATGGAACTGATAACCGGATGAAGTTCATGACACTTGTCAGTGGTTTTACCATCTCCTCATGTGCACAATGTTTCTTTAACCAAATGCAAAATGGCATCCAGAAAGAGAAAAGCCAATTCAGATGGTAGCACAGATAACCAATATTTCACTTGGACAGATGAGGAGACAGCACTACCGCTTAATGTTGCTTTATCAAAAAAAAAATGAGAAAATGTGCGAGGGGGAAGAATGGGAATCGATATGAACAAGGTATGAGGAATTACAAGAACTTTTCATTGAGAGATATCCAAACAGTGATGAATTCGAAGTAGACCCAGAAGAGTTTCCAAACTGTAAGGATACTAGCATATTCTCCAAAGAAAAGATAAATGCGAAGTTGAGGAAGATAAAGTTTGGTTATCGGAAAGCTGTAGATTCTGGAAGATGAAGCAAATGACCCTGCAAGGGAGGATGAAAGTGCCAAGGATGCAGTTGAAAAAACTGTTGATGCAAGAAGAAACTTAATTTCTAAGCTAAAAGAGAAAAAAAATTCCAAGCTTACGAAGAAAACCACAACAGAAAACAGAATATTAGCCCTTGGACACGAAGAACTTCAGTTGAAAAAGAGAATGATCGATCAGCTTGAAAAGTAAGAAGAAAAATACATGGAAAGTATGCAAAGTTTTACCACTAGTTTACATTCTTTAAGCTCCACATTGCAGAATGGATTCAACATGCTGGGGACGATGATGCAGCAGAATCATCAGCAGAACCAGCATCTGCAGTACAACCATCCCCAATATCAGCAACAGCAAAGCAACATGTCAGGTGTTTGGCATTTACAGGATCCTTCTCATTTTAATAAGTGTTGAACATTAACATTCACATTGTGTCTACTCTAACTGTTGGATTGTGCACTGTTTTAGCACTCTGTTAACAAAGTTGAGTTGTGTTTATTATATGCACTGCCAGTTTGCCTGCTCACTAGGCAGAAAGACATGGGTAGGCTTACATTGTTATTGCACTATTTACCTCAGAGATTTTCCGTTTTTGTGTGCGTTAAACTGTACCAGGAGCAATTTAATCAATATAGTTAGTTAAATTTCTTCTATGTTACTTGTTGCCATTAATAGTTGTTGAGTTTCATGTTTGTAAGTACTCCCTTTCTAACTTCATAAGGTTCATGCTTGTTGAATAACATTCAATCACAAGAATGTTTTTCATCTTTATTTTATTACCTAGCAAGATCAACACAAGTATCTTGGAATAAAAACATGCCCAAGGTGGACAGAACTGATATCTTGCTGTACTGGTATGAACAATATCAAAGGCAAGGGTAGAAGTAATTTTGAACATCTTAAAATTACAACAGTGTCAAATGGTGCCGGTTAGGTGTGATCTCTGAAATACCAAACTTCTGAGAAGGAGTCACCAGGCAAAGTCATATACTTCCTGTTTGAAAATTCTTTGCAATTGGCCAATTTGAATTGGCAGCATTGTTAGTTGAAATACTCCACAAAAACTTTACGAATCTGCTTACTCCTAGTAGCCAGTGTACCTTGATTCCTAGCAGCTGTAGTGCCAGGTTGAAACTCCCTGTCGTACTTAATTGCTTTGTCAATAGCCTCATTGGATATATGATCACCATTCACCTCAAAGTAGTTGTGTAGAATAAAGCATGAATGTACTACACGAGGTAAATAATTGAGATTTATGTCCATCTCATGTTTCAGTGCTCCAAATCTTCCCTTAAGTCTGCCGAAGTCACATTCGATAACCATGCGTGCAGAACAAAGGCGCCACCCAAAGAATTGCTCTTGTGATGTACTACCTCTCCCTGGGAACTCTTTCATTTTATAAGGCAATAGTGGGTATGCTGGATCCCCAAGCACACAAATCGGAACAGGATCAGTGTCAGGCACTAGAACCTTTGGTAAAGATGGTATAGAGCCATTTCTTAACATTTCATTGATTTTAGAATTACAGAAAATTCTGGAGTCGTGCACACTCCCTGGCCATTTTATCACGACGTCAGTGAAACAGTATCTGTAATCACAGCTGGCTTGCACATTTAATGAGTATCTGTTTTTCCGGTTAATGTAAGCAGTTGCATTTTCTCAGGGTTGTTTAATAAATACACGTGTTCCATCAACAGCTCCTATGCATTGTGGAAAGCCATGAGCATCATAAAAATTGGCGACTGTGTCATACACTTCTTCTTCTGATTTTGGTAATCTTATGTAATCAGGCCCAAGGACGATTGAAATGCATCTGCAAACTCTTCGAACAGTTTCAGACACAGTTGATTTTCCGATGCTGAATGCATTTAGCAACTTTGCAGTATCTCCCCTCATCCGATAAATAGTACAAAGTTACAGCTACCTGCTTCTCAACATCAATTGCAGATCTCATATTTGTAGATTGCTTCTGCAGAAAAGGTTTGACCTTGTCACACAGTTTCATGAAAAAAATCCTCGATTTTGGTGTTCAAATTTTTGAACGCTTGAGTGTCCAAATTTCCGTAAGTTTGGCGTGGTTCCATGTGAACGAAACGCCTAACTGCACAAATTTTCGGCCGGTCAAAAATTAATCAGAAAGATTTAAACTTACATCTTGTCTAATGTTTAAAGCGACCTATATTAACGCCTGCAACCATTATGTTTTCTACGAACCTCACAAACTTTTAAATACATTCTCTTGTGATACCTGCAAAAGTATTCAGTATAATTTCTTGTAAGATTTTTGCGGACAATCTGATCGATTTCTCTTACATTGTGTGCTGAGACCGAAACTTTTCACCTCAGGCAAAGCTTCGTTGAATGGCGCAAACAAACAAGGTGAGCAACTGAGCTTCTTGTACATCTCCGTGTTAAAACACAAGAAAGGACTCTAAAGCATACTTCACTCTGATTGGGCAGAAAAACACAAAGATTTTCTAGCACCAATTAGATGCCAGAACAACTGCAACCGTTTGGAACTTGTCTTGTAAGACGATGTCTCCAGGGGTTCTTCGGCCCTGACTTGAAATTGACTCACAGCCCCTGGGTCTCCGAGGATGACTTCTGACCAGATTTGCAAGATTTCTATCATAAAAAGATCTCAGATGCTATATTTTAGTTGATTGTATCCTTTGAGGTTGCCCCCAAAGATGGTAGGGCCACCTAAATGTTGCAATTTGGAGTAAAGAAAGTAGTTTCATTCAGCATGATTTTCCGGGTCAAGGTATTTTCTTACTCAAGCTGATTTGAGTGCTTTGAGTGAGTGAGTGAGAGAGTGATTTGAGTACACATCATCTAAATAGTTGCCAATTGTCAGATTTCTGTTGATTTGTCTCCTGTACCGCTTCATAAGAAATTGAAGATTTGCTCAATTCTACTAGAACATGACAATTTTTCGGCAAAAGGTGACAGGGAGTCAACCAGATTGGAAGCTATCAAGCTCTTTAACAATGTAATCTTTCCAAGAAGTCCCAATCATTCATATTCCCAGCTGCCTATCAGAGTAGTTTGCCTCCATAGTTACTTTTAGTTTAGTTGAAAACCAGATGCCTAGGACTCTTAACTCATTTCAATTTTTTCAGGGAAGAACAATTCATCCCTTCCAGTGTTCAAATCGAAAGTGAGCCGCTTCAGTTTTTTATGGTTTAGCTTCAGGCCAGATACTTTTTTGAAACTTTCCAAGATTTGTAAAGAAAGCAACAAGGATTTTTTTATATCCATCTGCAAAAAGAGTTGTATCATCAGTGTATTGTTTGATTTTTAATTTGGTTTTGTTTTGTGATGTCTTTGGTGTTTCTTATTATTTTGGCTAGCATCCCCACACAAAGAATGAACAGATAGGGCAAGAAGGAGAAGCCTTGTCTAACTCCCTTTCTGGTTTAAAAATTTTGAAAGACCATCCATTGTTCACAACACAGCTTTCAATATCATTATAAAAGGTTTTAACACAGTTAACCATTGAGGAGCCAAAGCTAGAGTGCTAAGATGCTGTTTGATACATGGGTGGTGTTGTTCATAACTTTAGCCCTACACACAGTTTTGCCCCCTTCTAAAATATTTTTATAAGTAACCACATCACTGTTTCTATTGGATTTGAAGAGCAAGAAAATAACTTACTGCCAATTCTGTGAGAACATTTGCTCCAGCTCCAACTCCAAAACAAACTACATCACTCAAGCTGAAAGAAGGAAAAAATACCTGTGTGCATAAACAAACTTTTTCAAAAATGGAAAGACCCCAAATTTGAACAAATTGAATATGGTCTGTTGCCTTACAGAGCTGAAAACCATGTAGGAAATACATGTATAAGACAAGCTGGAATGCATATAGATGACCAGTTCATCATGGTAATTTCTGTGGACAAAGTAGCTGCAACCATAGATGCACAATGTAGACAACTGTCACATCTTGACGTCTACTCTAGTCAAGAGTGCATTGTCTTAGTCCCTAAACAAAGATCCCAAAGCCTCTCTGAGCTGGAAATGCCATGTATAGATCATGTCTTTGCCATGTCAGACAACAGACAATAACTTCAGAAAACCATCAGTCTCCCAATCCCTTCACCAGGAAGACCCAATGAAACAACAAACTTGCCCCCTCTGTCACCACAGTTTGAGGACAATCCCACCAACCCTAATTCACCAGTAATTACTAAAATGCAGTACCACAAACCATATTCTACAAGTTAAAAGGTATGACAAGATGTAAAGGTCAATCACAACCAACCTCCCATTTTTGCTTTGTTCATTGATGGGGAATTTATAAACTTGGCTGAATTAAAACTTTTTTATGGCCCGCTATATAACCTTGTATTACATCACAACTGGACACTGCTGTGACAAGAACTTTGTTTTGCAGTAAAACAGAACCCCCAGTCATTCTGCACTGGACATGGCTTGAGATTCATTTTCAGGCTGTGGCTTCATTTATTCTCAAGACATAAGTCTCTTGCCTCAAGATGAGACCTTTCCCTCAAAATTTGTGGGTCTCCTCACAAAAGAAATGATTCTTATATTGTCATTTGGATGCACCAACTCAAAATTCATACAGAGGGTTAAACTTACTTGAAGTGGTCTATCACATTACCAGCCATCTCTGCTAGCTTTGTTATGGATGGGTACTGATAACTGAAAATAAGAGGAAAAAATCACAAGTGCTCATTATTTTCTTAGTGAAAATTGTATTATACCACAATTGGCAATCAAGTCACAATCTGACTGGCTAATTTGCTGTTGTTGATAAGAGTGTAGACAATGCTGCTCACAGGCAGGCATCTTCTCAAATTTCCCTGCTCCTCCCATCCACTCTAACTCTACAACATACATGACTGGTTGAATAAACTCTTGTTTGCTTGTAGGGTTAACTTGCCTTAGTAAGACACCTACACTCAGTTGGTAAACTAAAAGCCAACAACTTTTGTACAAAATATTACGTAGCTCAAAAGTTACTAGCACAAGCTTCAGTAGGTAAACCTTCAATAACTAATACTTTAAAATGTTACTACAATTGTACACAAAAAAATACAATGGTCATACAACATAATTCATGAGCTAGATATCATTTGGGACAACAAAAAAATGTAAAAAGCTCTTTTCAGCAGAGATTTATTTGGAGAGCTCTTCCCAACAATTCCACCAAAAACCAGTCAATTTGCTGTGAGAGCTAACTTTTGCATGTCAGTGCGCATCTTCATTACCTTTCATCTGGTTAGTTAAACTCTTTGTAATACAAAAAAAAAATTGATGTACTTACTCAGGTGCCAGGTTTTCTGCCTTACTTTCCTGAAAAATATGATGGGAATGATTAACACCCTGTAAAATTTACTTTTTAAGGTTACTATAATTATGATAGCAACTCAACTTTTACAAGAAAGCAGGGAAGAGAAAGTACATAAGACTACATTTAATTTTTAAACATAAAAACTAATCTACAAAGCAAGACTTTTCCTGAGATATATGCTATCCTTTTTCTTTTAAGGGATGTCCTAATCAGTCAGAAACTTTCTCGGCAACTTCTTTGAATTGTCCTACTTTAACAGTCACTATTGGGGTCCATTAAAATAGTGGCAACTTCAAATTCTGAAAATGGTATCTGGTACTTTCATTTAATTACAAAAACAATATCTCCCTTAACTTCTACTGCTGTTAGGTTCCACCCTGAGAGTTTCAACTCTGGGAAATAAATTCTCCTCCAACAGTGAATAATTTATTTAAAAATGAATGCATTATGTGCAGTGTAGTTTATGCAAATTTATGTTCTATCATCAGAATGAAGCAAGAATTGATGAAAAGAAAAGGTTGAAATGAGGTTACAATTGACCTGACTTTTGCTTAGTCCCTATAAATAGTGGAGATGGTGACTGAAAACCTTACGAGTCAAGGTTAAAACAGCTGTAACAACTACATCATCATTAAACAATGTGTGAATCAGATATCTCAGTGACATCTTGGAGCCCACTTGGATTGATGAAATATTTTTTGAAGCTGAAGTTGTTTGTGGATTCACTTTTATTTCAATCATGTCTTGAATAAGTTTCACTTTAAAGTACAAGCTTAGGGAAGTTTCCTGTTATGAATTATGTTCTTAAGAACAAAACTCGTGTTACAGGTCACATTGACATACTTTGTCCTTAAAACAAAAAAAGATGCCATGTCCATTTTTGTTAACTTCACTGTATTTGTGCATGCTTTTTGTTGCAATTCTCCACTACTTCTTAGCCTTGATCTTAGTTTCACACAATTTCATACACATCAGCAAAAATCACTCAAAACAGTCTTCATGAAATCAACAAGTTTTATTTCATTTAAAAGTTAATGTGCCATAATTGAGAGGCTACACAACTTCTGAGTCCCTTTCCCTTTTGGTGATATATATATATTAACATATTAGTTTTCATTTGCTATAAGTTTCATACAGCAGGCTATACACAATGTTGAAGTGAAATAGCTATCAGTGGCAATTTGACTCTCAGTGGTGGCAAGCATTAATTGACTGTTACCCAATTGACCTCTTCTCTAATCAATGCCATTTTCATATTTTATGCAACAGCTGACATTCTTATATAAGTATGTTTGCCAAGAGACATTTATTTCTTATCAAAAGCTAAGTTTGAGATGAAGGAAGTTTGAGATTATCTGACAGTGTAACTAGGTATAATGTTCTCTAAAATATTCATAATAGTCACTTTGATACCTGTCCTGGGGCATCCACATGGTAAATAACAAAGCGATCCAGTAGGTGGACAATATCTTCATGTTGGAAGAACCTTTCAAAGCATGTTTTATCTGAAAATGTAAATTTTTGCTTATAACTGTGACATTACAGTTGCAATTTAAGTTCAATTGTAGATATATGTTAAATACATTGATGTATCCTTTAGTTCAGGTAATTGAGCATTTGTGATTAAAAATCTACATGAACAGTATGTTGACTAAGTAGGCAGTTTGCTGTACCCATTGATCTGGACCCTTTTTAACCCTATTATCTCAATTATACCTCAATTATATACAATTTGCAGAGCTTGCAAGTTGATTTGTTGTCAAATTTTCCACCTCTTAAACATTTGATTGCGATGCTGTGCTCTTCACCCTCCTGATATGAAATAGGAGCATACTTCCCCAGAAAATCATGAAAAAAATTTAAATAGGCAACACTTGCATTCCTTTATCCTGAATGAGAACTCCTACTACTGGAAAATGTTTGTAGCAGGTGCAATGGGAGCAAGGAGTAAATCATATTGAAAAGGATGATTAGTTTCATACATGTAAGTACTAAAGCAGTAATGTGCCATCTGTTATTCCAAACCTTACATGTACAAGAAACAATAGTTTCAGCACGAGAGCATAAGATTGAATTCATTTGCAAGAGTCTAAAGCTCAATGCGCAAGACTTGACTGCTCTGAATTTGTATAGTCTTGAGTAATGGTTGCGATACCTTTTTAAGAGCTGTTGTCAAATAATCATTTCAACAAATTAAATTCAAAGTTTTCACAGACTCTAACTCAACTGAGTAAATGACTCAGTTACTAAAAAAAAAATACTGTCTCACTACAGTCACTGTGTCAAAAAGCAAACTGATATTGTTTGCTAAAATGACAGACTACATTTTATCAGTGAGAGAAAACAGAATATTGCAATAGTTTCCAATGTATATTCAGGTGCCTTTATATAAGCTGAAGTTTGAAGAACCATGTAAAGCTTTTCACATGTTTTGCATTGGCAGCTTTTCAAACAATATCATACCTCAACAAATATCATTTGAACCTTTAGTGATCATCTCAATAATTCATATTACACCCTTGATTGCACTTCAAAAACACACAATATCTACTTTCACTAGGAATGTTTGAGGTTGCAATGTACGTCTCTATTCTCTCTTTCCTCTGATACACACCAGCTTTCCTTACCACTCATCAAAAATATTGTGCAAAATTTTAGTTTTGTGTCTGAGCCCACTACTCTATGACAATTTTTTTGACGTGAGACAAAAGTATACTTTAAAGAAAACACTTCATGCATGATTCCAATACAAGTAGACGTTTTCACCATCAAAAGCATTTCTATCCTGGGTTTAAGCACAATATCTACATGACTAGTGTTAAATCCGTTTATTAAGAAGAGCCTGTGCTTTCAACACACCTTCCAACACACCTCCATTTATGGAAATTGACGTTTACCAAGAACATAACGGCATGACAATTTTACATTAAGTCCTTGCCATAAAAAGGGTAGGAAAGCCCATGGGCTCAAAATCAGACCATCCACTGATCTATGCATGCTAAATACCAGGAAAGTCAAGTCTGCTGAAGAGCCACAAACCAGAGGAAAGATGATAAACACCTAGTTGCCTCGCCATGCCCCTTCCACGATACAACACCTTTAGAAGTACATTTAAATCTCGATACCTTACGATTACGTTTAAAATCCAAAAAAGCGGTGCTCGACTATCACCAACAGTAGTCCCAAAACATTTTGCTTCGGGAGCGATAACAACAACGCATATTACGAGCAAGGTGGCCTTCTTTCCATTGTGCTGTTCATCAAAGCAAAGCATGACACACATTATGGACATTTCTTCCACGTAACAGGACTTACGGTTCATTCCAACATCATGAAATGTTATCATGACCTCCTTCTTTTTGATGTTTTCCTTCTCGTCTTTTTTATCCTTGGAATCTTCGCCCTAAGAATCAAACAACTGTACGTAAGCTTGACCTCAATTTATTAGCAGAGGAGAATTGAAACTACATGTATACTTAAATTATCATTTAAAAATAATAACGCACTGCTCCCGATCGCGAGTATAAACAGCCTATGCGATGCGTTCAGACTTAAATAAGCGTTAAAAACGCAATTATATCAGGCAAAAAGCAAACGTACCACAACATACACGGTCAAGTCGCCAACTTTCTCCACCTACAAAACAGATCAAGACGTGAGGACCATAAAGCACAATGCAAACAGTAAATGGCTAGAAATCGAGACGAAAAATACCCTTTCAGTATTTGGAATCTCTTCTGCCATTTCAAACGAAAATTCGCTCAATAAGGAGCTTAAGAACTGGAAAATTTACGAAACGTCTCCTTTGTAGTCCACAATGCAGAAATTCAGGTGAGGTAGTTCAAAGATCAAGTAACAAATGTGAAAGAGAGCGGGGCACTGTTAATGCGCCTAGAACCCCCTAGTGACATTTTCACCAATCATAGCATAGAGCGACTTTTGAGGACCGGCTGACCAATCAACACTATGATTTTTGAGATGTCACGCAAGGCGCACCCCAACAGAAAGTTTCCCTCGGTGTAGGGAGGGAGTGTTGCGTGACATCCTAAAAAGTTGACTGTTCACCAACAGTTCAACAGTTCATAACTTCTCCCTTCCACGCCTCATACAAGTGGGGAATGAAAAGGCTGTTTTGAGATCTTATAGTGTAACAACATCAAATGTAAATTTGTTGTATGTTTGACCGGCAAATCCCATGAAGAAATTGGTAAATATTTTTTGATATGTCGCCCCTTAAATTTTGTTTTCAGCCAAAGTATATGATATTTTACAGATGAGAACCTCTTAATTTTAGTAATCCTACCCCTATGTATAAAGTTCACATCAACCAACCACTAGAGCACCACTGTGAGGTATTTGTTCATGCATTCTTCACGTGCTGTGACGTTTCGTACATTTCCATTCGTTACCGTGAAGCGTGCCCCATCTTGTGACCGTTAGAGTGAAGAACTTGCGTTCCATGACGCAGTTTTAAAATGTAATTCCAGCGAAAATGTTTAAAAATATTTAGTTAAAGCATGAACCTAACGCTGTGAATCGCTTCAATTGTTAACGTAATTCAATGTAAACATTGGCAATCGGATCTTTCGGTAGATTACTTTAGCGGACGAAAAAACCATACTTTCCTAACAAAAAAAAATTTATGAAAGTCACTGCCACATATCTTCAATTTCAATCAGTCGAAGAACTTGCGATCCTAAAATGCCCTCTATGGTATATCGTTCCAGGGCAGAAAACTTTAGAGGTTTGTTATCAGATGGAAGCTGGAGAAAACCTTGTAAAAAAAGATCATCGCCTTCAAATGCAAATATCTAATGAGCGACTGTGAGGCAAAACTTGACACAGAAATGGAAATAGTGGAATTTGGCTCGCGCAGGCTGAGAAAGATCTGAATCGCAGCGTAAACATTTGATGAATTTTGCAACCCGAAGTTTGATAAACGCAGGATGTTATTTAGCACTGATTTTGTAGAACGCCCGAGGGATGCCCTTATTATTCTGCGGCGTTGGAACACAGTCAAAAAAAGTCACAAACAAAAATAGTCACAAAGTGACTATTCCTTTTTTGTTGACTTAGTTGCGGTACTTAACGCTTGGCCCTGCATTTCATCTAGCGATTTTAGTATTTCCAATTTGTCATGGCATCAACTTGTTCCAAAGTCTTAATCTCCATAGCACTCGGTAGCGATTTTGCTAAAAGCTGCAAGGCCTTTAATTCGTTCCCTCTCGATTGCAAGTCCGGCCGGAACATAGGCTTCGTACGCGTGTAGCTTCTTGTCTTCTCCACAAAGTTCGCTGAATTTTCAGCCTCGAGTGCTTGAGCCCGCGTTATTGACCGCCTAGCTGTGACGTAGCATTTCGTTTAGGTTGGTTCGCGCCAAAGTCACCAGCACACTGAACTATCTGCGAGTATTGTGGACGTCTTGTGCGATAAGACTAACAAAAGAATGAGCAAATTTAGGAAAGAAACAGAATCCAAGAACAAATGTGTGGAGCTTGTTGGATCAGAAGATCACACGCATGATTTCACTGTAGATGAAATCCAGCAAATTCGAGCCAATCTGCTGACATGGTACGACAAGAATCGCAGAAAGCTTCCCTGGAGAGAGTTGGCGTCTCAACCTGATCTAAATAGGCGTGCATATGCTGTGTGGGTCTCTGAAGTTATGCTGCAACAAACACAGGTCGCCACCGTAAAGGAGTATTACATTCGCTGGATGGAGAAATGGCCGACTGTTGAACATTTGTCGCGTGCGAGTTTGGAAGAAGTGAACGAGATGTGGTCAGGACTTGGTTACTATTCGCGAGCAAAGAGACTCCACGATGGAGCTAAAAAGGTCAGACTCTAAACTTATTTAAAAGTTTGCCTTTTTTTCCCAGAAAAAATTTTAAAAAAAGGTCATGTAAGGTAGGCTGTATGCTTCAGAAGTTACTTAACAATTGATCCACGAACATTTACGAAATATTCGCGCAGAATATTTTTGAGTTATTTTTTTCCAAAAAAAAAAACTCTGTGTTAGCGTGTAGAGTGGCATGTTGCTCACACCAATCAGATCGCTGCTTAAGGGTATGTATCTCACATCAATCAGATTGCCCGATAAGGGTATGTTTCTCACATACTTAATGTGGCAATCTGATTGGGGCATCAAAGTCTTAAAATCGACAATGACAGCAGTCCCAACATTACAGGTTGAAATATTTTGATTTATCTGACTTTTAACCAAATGTTGTCTTGGAGGGATCTTTTGTCAGTTGGTATTGTGCATATGGTTTTTGTTGCCAAGGCCAACATGTTTAAAATTAATATTAAATCAACTGGTCTTTTAATTAAGGGTATGTCAAACATTATTTGAAGGAGATTGCAAAGGGGTTAACACTGCCCTATTGTGCATCTTTTTATTAAAATTTGTTCTTAGTTTATTATGCATCCTTAACTCCTTTTTTTATGCACAAGACATTGGCTTCTGGGTTAAAACCAAAATCTACCAAATTTTAAATACCTGTTGATTGAATCACTCTGAAAAGGAAGACTATAGTCAGTACACCATTCATGAATGGAAGCCAATTATGGGTCTAAGTGAACAGAAAGTGACTAATGGAGAACAATTTATAAAAATTAGCCCTACAAGATGAAAGCAGGCTTTTGAGTCATGATATCAAGAAAAATTGAAAGGTTTGAGTGACTGGTTAAAGTAGCTTCTGAAAATATGAAACCAACTATTTATGTTGCAGCTTGCTGAAAGGCCATATAATTACAGAAATGGATGATGACAGTTGGTTAAGAGGAAAAATGCATTAGAAAAAATTGACCTGAAAGGTACCATCAGTATTACTTGCTCTAAAATGCATTTTATACTTTACAGGTTGTAGAGGAAATGAAAGGAAACATACCTTCCACAGCATCTGAACTACTGAAACAGCTACCAGGAGTTGGTAAATACACTGCAGGCGCTATTGCTTCTATTTCATTTGGTGAGTGCACTGGAATAGTTGATGGAAATGTGATTAGAGTTTTATCAAGGCTATGTGGTATTGGTGCTGTAAGTTCCAGTACTCAAGCTGAGCGGAAGTTTTGGGAGCTTTCTCATAAACTTGTTCCTGAAGATAGACCTGGTGAGTTTAATCAGGCTTTAATGGAATTTGGAGCAACACTGTGTACACCTCAAGCTCCACGGTGTCATGTATGCCCTCTGCAAAGGAATTGTAGTGCTTTAAAGCAAGTAGTGAAACAGGACACTCCAGTATCCATTCTGCATAAAGAAAAAGGACTAACATCCAGCAATGGCATAAAAGTTGATAAACATGTTGACATTGAAGAATGTATCCTTTGCCTGCCATCTTCACTGTGGAAGCCCTCCCTCGGTGTTTGCAATTACCCACAGAAACCTAAACGGAAACAACCTAAAGAGGAGACTTTGGCTGTTGTTGTTATTAAACATGACATGGAGGTGGGATCTCATTTTCTGTTGACTCAGAGACCCAAAACAGGACTTTTAGCAGGCTTGTGGGATTTCCCTAATGTTGCTGTAGAATCAAATCAATCTGATGCTTACATGTTTACTACCCTTTGTAACTTCTTGGAAAACAACCTGGGTATCACCCTCAAACAGAGGACTCAAAAAAGAATAGCAGAGGTTTCTCATAAATTCTCGCATGTTCATCATAAGTACATGGTGTTTTCATATGAGCACCCTGAAATCAAGCATTTACTTCAAACCTCCCAAGAAAAAAGCAAAATAAGGTGGATAACAAGAGAAGACTTAGATACTGCAGCTCTTTCCACAGCCATGCGGAAAGTTTTCACTGCCTTCGAAATGCACAACAGTGGTGAGAATGAAAAACAAGCCAAAGTGGACAGGAAAAGAAAGAGACCAAATTCTCATGATGGCAGAAAACAGATGGTGCTTGATGGATTTCTCAAGTCAAAGGACCAACAAAAGTAAGAAGTCTTGGGTTTTGTGTGGTGTATTTTCCCATGTCAATTCACACCAGAACCAGTTTACACTAGTGTTGTTCCTTCCATGCTCTATTGCATTGTCACATATACATTGTAGTGAAAGTGCTAGTGGGCTTGTAGTAAATGACTGTTGGAAAGGTAGCTTGAGGAGACATGTACTTTTAATGGACCAAGTTGGTAAGAAGATTTAACCACTTATAACAGTTTTGGACTTTAGATTGCCAAATTAACACTGACAGTCAACTTTCAATACCTTGAAACCAGTGCTTTCATTAATACCTGGCACCTGCAGGTATTTTGTTGTGAATTCCCAGGTATACTTTGTCACATTCAAGTCAAGTTTTCAGAACAGAAAAATAAATAACAAAGAAAACAATAGTCAATTTTAATGTCAAAATATTCACCTTGTTATTTATTTTTCAAATTCCTTGGTCTTTGATTGTTGGATTTATTCTTTCACTGGCAGTGTTTGTTTTGTGTATTTCTAGTAAATTCATCATGCACGAAATAGAAGTAAACATCATCAGTTACTCAAAATAATTTCCAAGCAACTTTGTGTTGAAGTAAAATCGTTAAAGATTTTTGGACCAATCAAAACAACAATTATAGTTCTTTTCAACTGCCAGTTAGAAAATCAAAATTCTCAAAACAGTGTTCTTGTTGAAGACACACATGTATGATATTCGGAACTTTTTTGCAAAGATGTTTCAAAATTTTGTCATAAAAATCCTATCTTGAAGCTAAAAATACAGAGAGAGTAACGAAAACAGCCCTTGAAGACTTAGCACATAAACTTTTATTAACAAAGGCTGCATTTGCTGTGAAAAGTGAAGAAGACCATGTTCTCATGATTACTGGTTAGCTAGAATGTGAGTAAGTGAGAGACTTTTAATTATTTTTTGTAAAGCAATGGGTAACTCAACAATTGTTTACAATCTGATAGGAAACACATGCTGTGGGTACAGTAAGAATTCATTGGTAGATTGATTAATTCAATTATCTATGTAAACATGAGCGGCTAAATCCATCAACACTTCTGCAGATGAGAGTCTCAATTAAAATAAACTGGTAGAATTCACATGTGTATTTTTAATTTCACCCAGTTCACCCATTGCAAGCATAAGAAAACCCTAAACAAAGATCATGTATTACAATGTGAGTAAAAAACATGATGTACAAATGGAAAATGATATGATCTGGTTTGGCCAAGCAAAGGAAGGTTTGGATTGTGGCATCAAAATTTGTGAACTTGTACATATGGAAATTTGATACTAACAGGATACTATCTTGCATTAGTTTTGCAGACTTCTGCCATGTTTAATAAAGACCATGTGGTTAGAGTGAGATAAGACATATATAATGACATCTCCCCTCTAAACAACTATGCAGAGTAATATACAAGCAATTAAAATATCAATATTGTTCACAGTTCATTGTCCAAGAATTATGTAAAAATAGGTCCGCAATGTGTATATGTGTGGCTTACAAAATTGAGCTGCTTTTTAGTGTCTGGTATCTCATTGGGTTTCAATTAGAAGAGCTACTATCTGATAACCATTAGATAGTTTTCAATATCGATCCTGTTCATCAATAACACAGGATAAATAGCATACAAAAGTCCTGAAATGTTCATTCTGAAGATGAGAGTTATTGGCCAAACTTTGTTATTGGAGGTCTCATTTTGACAATAAAGGTTGCACATGTAACCCAAGGATTTTAGGAACTAAAAAAACATCAGCATAATCTCCCATAGTGGTCTGATAGATTCAGTCATGATTATGTTTATGTAATGAAGTGGAATTGACTTCTGAAGTTTGTAGGTTGATTGTCTTTTCCAAGGCAAGTGATGTGAAATGAACTCTAGGGAAGAATTTCATATGAATATTTTTGACATTTTGTGTACCAGTACACAAGGACAAAACTTTGCAGAAGGGCAGGGATATTTGGGAAATGATGCAATCTACACTAGTAGCCATTGGGAGCTTGATTTGGTTTGAATGTATGACTAATTTTGGACAATACATACATGTAAAGTAACACAATGCTGAGTGTAGGTTTCTTTAGTCCATTAGGGCATAAAGTTCAACTTTCAGTTGGTTGAGAGCAAAACTTTTACTATAATCATTGTATTTAGGTTTTGTGGGACTGTATTTTCAATAAAGAACAGAAAAATTTAGCTCAGATAGGTAGATATGAGGTTGTAAATGGAAGAGTCTAGAGAAAAAAGATAGGTGCATTACAAGATCAGAACACAAGCAATATTTTAATGAATCATGTGTTGAGTTAAGTACTCTGAAGTTACATTTCTAACAGTTTTTAACCCAATAAGATTTATAATTTGACCTGGAGGTTTATTTAACAGAAAGTTCAATAGAGATAGAGTGTCACCATGATAGATTTCAGGAACAGTAATCAGAGACACAACTTAAACACAGCAGAGTTAAATGTACAGGCAAGTGCATAATGGTATCATATGATTTAAACTACCAGAAGCTTTCAAGTTTTCTTATTATTGAAATTGTAATTTCATGCCAGTGAGTCTACCAAATTCAAGTTATTTGGAGAAATGAATAGATGAACTTGACACCATCATGCAAATGGTCGACTTCACATCATCATGCAAAGTGCTAATCTACCGTACAAAAAGGTCTAAAACAAACATGGCAAGCAACTGAACTTCATGTATCACTCTGTGTTAGAGCCCACAAGAGGACTTGTGAGACTTGCTACACTCTCACTTGCCAGAACAAGATTGAACTTCTGGTAACAATCAAAATTCAGAATGACTGTGACAGTTTGGAACTGATCTGTTAAGACTGTGCTTTTAAGGGGTCTACAGATATGATTAGAACCCCTGGGTCTCCAAGGATACCTGATGGTTATCTAATGTGTGTGCAGTTTAAAGTATTTGAAAAATTTACAAGTGCTTATCATATGAGAAATCATGTTATTAATTATTCATTATGTATATATGAAAGATACACATTTTCAGGAAATCAACAAACTGATGGCAGATAAATTTGACAGTATTGACTAAATGAAGTTTGCCATCAAAATTTGTCCTTCAGCTGAATTCTTACTCAGGAAAGCAATTTTGTTAGTGTTTATCAATATACATAAAAGTATCTCAGCTTTTGTATATTTTTGTCAGCTACTGTATGTATCAATCAGAACAAACTACTTTGTGTAAATCTGATTGGTTTCTAATGTGATCTATTATTGCTGAGCCTAGTTTATATTATTTTGTACATGAGTTATTACTTCACTAATGATAAATGAAAAAGGCACCTAGTTATTTTCAGCCAATCAAAAAAGTGTAATTTTTCATGTATGTCAGTATTGTGATGAATTCACCAAACCAAACAAGTAACTGGAAAGGAGTTGTAGTCTACCAAATAAAGGCCTAATACACATGTATTGCTACCAAGTATAGATACCAATGCTTATCTGAACCATTATGAAGAGAATCTAGAAGACTGCTAAGCTTGAAGGAAGTCATGAAATGTTAAGGTCTGAATAATTCTAGCCATAACTTGGAAAACATAACACTAATCACATTTCAGTTAACATTAAAGCACAAGGCTCTTATTCATATTTTAATAAAAGCAAGACCACTTTGTCACTGAGTTTCAATGGATTACTCCCCAAAGTTTAGAATCAATCACCACAGACATTTAGCACCATGTTAATGACAAACTGCAGTTTCAGGTTAGGTGTTAGACATTTGTGACTTTAATTGGTTTAGCTAAAAGTATGTAAACATGAAAGTATAATTTCATTTAAAGAGGCCGTCAAATTGAATTTCCAGACAACAGCAGTGTTTGATTTTCTAATGGCAACAAAAAAGTCCTATTTTCACTCACTGGCTAAAAATTGTTTATTCTATTCATATTGGATGACATGATCCTGTTCATCAATAACACAGGATAAATTTACAAATCATCCTTGCGCCTTCTAGTACAGGTATCTCAGATCCACTGAAGCCAAATTAGTTTTGCTTTGGTTGTCTTCTGGTGTTCCTTTGAGTGAGTTAAATACATCTGATGGAATTACATTTGTTCGTGCTCCAGTATCGAATTTAAATACTAGGATGTTGTTCACTTGAAGAGATGCTTTCCATTCTTGTCAATGGTCATCTTTTTTGGACTTGACCAATTGATAATTCTTCCAATTGCTTGTCTTTGACAACAGGTTGAGCGGCTTGATCGCTTTTCATGAGATGAACATTCTTCAAGAGACATTGAAATGCATAGTTGATTCAATTTTTTCCATTTTTGACAGACTTTTCCAAAGCTGGGCATTTTCTCAGTGGATCAAGTCTTCCACGTCTCTTACATGCTTTTGGGAGTCCACTGTTTGTCTTTGGCTGGTGATCTTTTCCTCTTCTGTCCTTTGGCAGGAATTTACCACTTGGTGTAGCTTTCTTATTTATGTAATCTACACTTTTTGATTCTTTGGTGATCAATATTGTTTTGCATTTTGAGAAGTCCAACACTCTACACATATTGATGGCTTTCTGAAGACTTATGTCAGTTTCTTGCAAAAACTTTTCTTGTTGTGTGGCAGACTATTCCACAGATGATTCTATCTTGAATTCAGCTCTCACACAGCTCTCCAAATTCACATGAGCTTGCTTTGGTACGCAGCTTGGTTACACAATGATTGATGCTTTCAGTTGGTTCCTGTACACAGGTTTAGAATTTGTGCTGTTTAAGTGTGGTATTCTTGAATAGGACATGGGTTTTTTCATCGATCCTGAAGCTTCCATGAACAGTTAAAATCAGTGTTTCCACTTACGGCAGTTGTCTGTAACATTTCCATTTAGACTTAGCATTGAGGATGGCTTGAATGCACTCATTTTAAGCTAGACTTTTATAGTTCAAACTTTGTTTGAGATCTACCACTTCTGACACCATGATATGTTTAATAAAGATCATGTGATTACAGTGATGTAATACATATATCATGACAACTGCGTGTTGAAAGTTTTATAGAATTATATGATGTTGCATAGTTGCCATCATTCTGGATATTTCTGTGACTTTCTGGAAGCTTTCAAGCTGTGACTAAATGGAGCTGGACACTGAAAAGTTGCTTGACAAGTTTTGACAAAAATGACTGTTATTGTCTTATCATACACAACATTTCCAGAAAAAAATATTTTGAGTTTTCAAGAATATACTGACTCAAATTTTGGTCACCAGTAAACAGCATGTCCTTTCAGAGGACTTTTGTGTGAAACTCAGGGAGCAGGTTTGCATGTTGGCAAATGAAAGAATTTTATTAGAAATAAAATGATCAATTAAAAACTATCACAAAGAAAACTAATATTTAAAAATTATTAATGGGAGTTCAACACCAAAAACTCCATTTGAAGCCAGTTTTTCTGAATGGAACTAATAGGCTAACAAGAGGGAAATTGTTTTCCATTTCACTCTGTGGCGGCTGCTTTACAGAGGTACCCACCAACTTCAAATCATGTTGACAGCACTGTGAACCCTTGCTTAGGGTTCAGTGGAACCTAAATTGATTTCCCTGGATTTCAGTCATACATTTACTGCAAAAAAAAAAGAGACAAACAAACAAGTTGGACGGTGGTGTAAACAACCAGTTGCAGATCAGAAACAGTGTGAAAGGAACTCTATAGAGTTTTTTTTCTTTTCCCTTGTAGTATCACAAAAGTGCTATGACAAATGTTGGGATGCTATGCATGCAAGAGTTTTTTTTTGGGATAGGTTGGTTAAGTTAGGACTTAAGTTGTTTTCAGTATTGAAAAGAAAACATTGTCACTCAAGAGGTCCATGTGACTACTGCGAAAGATCAGAATCGAAATAGTGCTATACAGTTGAACCTGTATTGCGATAGTTAAACTATTGTGATGTGAGAGTTTAGTGTTGTAATTTTTATACATTGCCCCATCCCAAATTTCCTGTGCAATTCAAGTGGTAAACAAGAAATTAAAAAATGTCGTGTTTGTGGATTTTTTTACTATGTAAATTTAACTTATGAAAGTATGCCACAAAAATGGTTATATATCTTTCTTAATTCTACTTGTCTTTGAACTCTCAACAAAAGTTTAATTGTAAAAAAAAAATTAGTTCATACTGTATTCACTTCATTAAAAACTGTTACTCAATACTTTGTGAATGATAAAGTATAAAATAAAGTGGCTGCAATAACAAATGTTATAATATTGATGCTGACACATTCCAGAAACAGAAAAAAGAGTAATGAATACAATGCAATGCATTAGTTAAATCAACCTTAAGGATTCCAATTTTTCTTAAGAAAAATTAGTGTCAACATGCTTTGATTTCAATTGAGACCTTTGGGCAGTAATGATATCACCTGCTGTAGAAAATACTCTCTGACAGCAGCTTTTGACTTGAGAGAACTTAGAGCAAAAACAGCTTGCACAGTTAGTTCATGGTATGCATCTAATCTATCGTTATCACTCAGGAATGGTGTTGATTTGAAGCGTGGTTAATAATAATAATAATAATAATAATAATAATAATAACGATAATAATAATATTAATAATAATAATAATATTTAATGAGGGAGCCCAACTCACCACTGCGGTTTTCAGTGGGGCCCTCATAAAGAGGGTTTAAAGTAAAGAAAGTAAAGAAGTAAAGAAGTGTTGCCACTGTCAAATCTTTCTTGGTAAAAAAGTAAAGAAATAAAATAAAGAAGTGTTGCCACTGTCAAATCTTTCTTGGTACATGTGTCCTGGCATCTTGTTGAGAAATTATCCACAACTTCTTTCTTCACTTGCTTTATCAATGCTGAGTCATCATTATGTAATGTTATGTAATTCACCATTTGTTGCTGAAGAGGTAGAATCATTGACAAGGTTAGCACACTTTCCTCACATAGTGCTGTTGTTGCAATTTTAAGTGGTGTTAAAACAGCAACAAATTCTTCAGCAGATGCAAGATCTCTTTCAGACAATGAAGAAACATCTTTTTCCCTTTTATGGAGTTCCCTTGGATGTTAGAGCTGCATAAATTGGAGGTTGCTGCTCCAGGTACCTACTTATCATGTTCAGTGCTGAATTCCACCTTGTTGCAACACCCACTGACAGCTTTTATTCTGGTAATAGCAAAAGCTTCTGCTTTTCTTTGAGAATTGCAGCTGTAATAGCACTCCTGTAAAAATAACCCACAACTCATCTCATTCTGGCCAGGAGATGACTCACAGGTAATTTTCAAAGCCTCTCCACAAGCTGGATTCAAGGTATGAGCTAAACAGCCAACATGTAACGAAGTTCCTAATTCTTCTGCTACCACTGTCATGTTCAAAGCATTGTCAGTTACAATAGGTGGACCTGGAGGAAGATTCCACTCTGTCACTGCTTCTCTCAATACATTGGCTATGTTGACACTAGTGTGGCTTTCTGGCAGTGACCTTGTCTAGAAGAAGAGATAAGGATAAAATTTGAATGTTCACAGAGACAGAAAAATATATGCCATTCAACACTTATGCATGTCATGTAACCACAATAGCTTGCCGGGGACTATCGCTTTCCCCAGGTCACTTCAGATATTCAAATAGTTTGTATTCTAAGAGCTAAACTCAATTAAAATTTCATGAGCAGAATAAAGTTATTATGTTTTCATGAAAATAAACTCCAAATTTTTCAACTGCCACAATGAAATGCACATAACCCTCTCTGCAATCACCAATTTTTGGAAAAAGGAAAAATCATCTCGAACACTTCACTGAAATGACCATTCAAGGTAACTAACAATATTGCATAGGGTTTCAATGTAATGAAAAGGTCATACCTCAAGGATGTTACTTCCCAACTCCACTCCTTGTCGATATAGTGGCAGGTGATTGTCAGATATGATTCAGTGGCATGGCTCGTCCAGCCGTCTGTTGTTAAAGCAACAGCAATAGCATCAGCAAGTTCACTATTCAGTTCAGTTTTCTTTTGCTTGTAGAGTTCCAGCAATGCCTTATCCCAGAAGTGCTGTCTGGAAGGTATTGTATACTTAGGCTCAAGAATATGAACTGCAGTCTGAAATCCTGAATTTTGTACAACACTGAATGGGCGTAGATCTTTGATGATAAATTGCAGAATTGCACCAAAAATTGCATTCACTCTGCTCGAATTGTGTGGCAGTCTGGTCGCAAATAACACTAAAAGAGCCTCCTCTGGCCTGAATGAGTAGTTTGCTGTATAGAAGCTGTGGCATCTGAGCATTCTGAGGATGTAGACTGTAGATATCTGCTGTGTTTTCTTTGCACGTGATCGGTTAGGTTTGTTGTATTTCCGTTGTATTTCAATATCACTTGGTCAGGTCACAACTTGCATGCAACCCTTATCCACAAGACTGTTTTCCTTTACAAAACCGAAGTGTTGCCATATGCTTGCTTTCCCTTTCTTGTTTGGCACTATTTCGTAAGACTTGCTTCATGTTTATTACACATTGACTGCTCTTCCAGGAAATTCTTCCAGAGGGGGACCAACAAAATCCTTGAACTG